AAAAAATTTAATTAAAAAAAATTATTGTAGCAAACAATTAAACAAAAATTTAACTCTTTCTAAACGATATTTTTCTTTATTTACAGTAGGTCCGTATTCGAAGATGAGGGGATTCGCTGACACTATTAGCAGAAGTAGAAGCCAAAAAGGTAGGATTTTTTTCTTAATATATCTTTTTGCGGGATATAATTTTCTGAGTGCGCAATGAAAACATGTAGAGAAAAGTAGTGCTGATATAACTTCGATCCTGTGCGCTGTCAAGAAATGGCGGCTCATCACCAACTGAACAGAGTTGAAAAGGTAAGGATCATTTGTATAACATATTTTATGTTTAAGACATATTTACTATTGAATTAAGAAAATTTTAAATAAATAAAATATATAGTAGGTCGTTAAACGATAACGTTTTTTCAAAACAGTAATTGGAATCTGTGCAGAAGAAGGATTCACAACAGGGGATTAAAGCAACATGGTCGGCTATTTTGGACGACTGGAAGCAGTAGCAATATCGGTAGAAATTTCAACCTCTATCCTGCGTTGGGTCAAGGAATGATAGCTCAAGTCCAACGGGAAATAAGCCATTTGGACTTGATTTAAAGGGTAAGAATCATTCGTAGAATTGATTTTACCTTTAGGTTTTTAGTTTTGTACTAGGAAGGTTACTGTAACAACCGATTAAACAAATTTTAATTAAAAAAATATTACTCCTATATCATTCAGTGTTGATATAAATTTTTTCGCAATTTGTAAACAAGTTTTTTAAAACTGAAATTTTGCTAATGGTCCTCCCTTCTTCAAATTTCGGCCAATTTTTGACATTTTGTAAACTTAACTAAACACATTTTACTGTAGATCTTACTTCCGGCATCGTTTGTTTGATAAGTGCAACCGTTTTCCCAGAATCGAAAATTGAAATATAGAAATTTTTAAAAATTTTCATAAATTCGCATTTCTCGTGGCGATTCATTTGAAAGTGTTACTCCGTGACCATCAACACGCTATATTCTTGGAATTAGCATGTCGATATTTAAGTCCCTAAATTTTTTCGCAATTTTTACACAACTTTTTAAAAGTGAAATTTTTTCAATGGTCCCCCCTTCTTCAAATTTCGATAGATTTTTGACATTTTCGAAACTGCACTAAATATATTTTCTTGTGGATTTCAGCTCTAGACTTCACTTCGGGCCTCATTTCTTTGATAACTGCAACCGTTTTTCCAGAATCGACCGTTGAATTATCGAAATTTTTAGAAATTCTCAAAAATTCACATTTCGTTACCAATTCTTTCGAAAATGTTGCTCCGTGACCATCTACTAGGTATATTTTGGAGTAAGCATGTCGAGATCTACGTGCCTGAATTTTTTCACAATTTTTAGACAACTTTTTTAAAAGTGAAATGTTTTCAATGGTCCCCTCCTTCAAATTTGGGCCAATTTTTGACATTTTCGAAAATTAACCAAATACATTTTCTCGTATATATCGAGCTCTAGAACTTACTTCCGGTCCCGTTGAAATATCGAAATTTTTAGAAATTATCAAAAATTCGCATTTCGTACCGATTATTTCGAAAATGTTGCTCCATGACCATGACGCTATATTTTTGGAATCATCTAGTCGGGATTTACGTCCCTGATTTTTTTCACAATATTTAGAGGACTTTTTAAAATTGAAATTTTTCAAACGGCCAAATTTTCGGCCAAATTTTGACATTTTCGAAACCTAACTGAATACATTTTCTTGTAGATTTCGAGCCCTAGAACTCACTTCCAGCCTCGATTCTTTGATAGCTGCAACCGTTTCTCCAGAATTGACGGTTGAAATATCGAAATTTTTGAAATTTTGAAAAATTCGCAATTTGTATCGATTCTTTCGAAAATGTCGCTCCGCGATCAACAACAGGTTATATTTTTGGAATTAGCACGTCAAGATCTACGTCCCTGTTTTTTTTTTCACAATTTTTAGACGACTTTTTTAAAATTGAAATTTTTCCAATGGTCCCCCCTTCTTCAATTTTCGGCCAAATTTTCACATTTTCGAAACCTAACTGAATACATTTTCTTGTAGATTTCGAGCCCTAGAACTCACTTCCGGCCTCGATTCTTTGATAACTGCAACTGTTTCTCCAGAATCGACGGTTGAAATGTCGAAATTTTTGAATTCTTGAAAAATTCGCATTTTGTACCGATTCTTTCGAAAATGTCGCTCCGCGACCATCGACAGATTATATTTTTGGAATCAGCACGTCGAGATCTAGGTCCCTGATTTTTTTCACAATTTTCAGACGACTTTTTTAAAATTAAAATTTTTCCAATGGTCCCCCCTTCTTCAATTTTCGGCCAAATTTTGACATTTTCGAAACCTAACTGAATACATTTTCTTGTAGATTTCGAGCTCCAGAACTCACTTCCGGTCTCGATTCTTTGATAGCTGCAACCGTTTCTCCAGAATTGACGGTTGAAATATCGAAATTTTTGAAATTTTGAAAAATTAGCAATTTGTATCGATTCTTTCGAAAATGTCGCTCCGCGATCAACAACAGGTTATATTTTTGGAATTAGCACGTTAAGATCTACGTCCCTGTTTTTTTTTCACAATTTTTAGACGATTTTTTTAAAATTGAAATTTTTCCAATGGTCCCCCCTTCTTCAATTTTCGGCCAAATTTTGACATTTTCGAAACCTAACTGAATACATTTTCTTGTAGATTTCGAGCCCTAGAACTCACTTCCGGCCTCGATTCTTTGATAACTGCAACTGTTTCTCCAGAATCGACGGTTGAAATGTCGAAATTTTTGAATTCTTGAAAAATTCGTATTTTGTACCGATTCTTTCGAAAATGTCGCTCCGCGACCATCGACAGATTATATTTTTGGAATCAGCACGTCGAGATCTAGGTCCCTGATTTTTTTCACAATTTTCAGACGACTTTTTTAAAATTAAAATTTTTCCAATGGTCCTTCTTCAATTTTCGGCCAAATTTTGACATTTTCGAAACCTAACTGAATACATTTTCTTGTAGATTTCGAGCTCCAGAACTCACTTCCGGTCTCGATTCTTTGATAGCTGCAACCGTTTCTCCAGAATTGACGGTTGAAATATCGAAATTTTTGAAATTTTGAAAAATTCGCAATTTGTATCGATTCTTTCGAAAATGTCGCTCCGCGATCAACAACAGGTTATATTTTTGGAATTAGCACGTCAAGATCTACGTCCCTGTTTTTTTTTCACAATTTTTAGACGACTTTTTTAAAATTGAAATTTTTCCAATGGTCCCCCCTTCTTCAATTTTCGGCCAAATTTTGACATTTTCGAAACCTAACTGAATACATTTTCTTGTTGATTTCGAACCCTGGAACTCACTTCCGGTCTCGATTCTTTGATAGCTGCAACCGTTTCTCCAGAATCGACGGTTGAAATATCGAAATTTTTCAAATTTTGAAAAATTTCCATTTCGTACCGATTCTTTCGAAAATGTCGCTTCGTGACCATCAACAGGTTATATTTTTGGAATCAACATGTCGAGATATTCGTCCCTGAATTTTTTCGCAATTTTTAGACAACTTTTTCAAAAGAGAACATTTTTCAATGGTCTCCTCTTCTTCAAATTTCGGCCAATTTTTAACATTTTCGTATCGTGCAAGTAGTTCAAATTTGAACCCAAAGATGTTTAATACGTGCTAATTTATGTAAAAAGTAGCTTATTTATTTTAAACTGTTAAATGTTTATAACAACAAAAGAAAAACGATTTCCAAAATTAAAAGACATACCTACCCATTTATTAAAAAACGGATATTTCCTATCCTTGAACAAAACTTGAATGTAGATAGCAAATTCGATAAAAAATCACAGTATACATTCTCTTATTACGCAAGAAACTTGTTCCTTTTACAAAAATTTACAGTATTTGTTGTTGGTTCGCTTTGATTTAGATAAGCTATCTGTTAAGTACGAAAGCAATAAAATTAATTGAACTTATTGCGTTATCTCTAAATTTGATAAATTCCGGGGATTACTTATTTCTGATTTTACAGATTTTCATATTTTGATTGGAACTTGTATTGTAGAACGTTGTAAAATGTATTACACAAATTTTGAAAGCTTGCCGGTTGCCTAACGCCGAATAGAGCCGCGTCTACAACTGAGTAACCAGATATGAATTATTTTATTTCAGCATTAAGTCGAAAAACATTATTATAATTATTTTTCGGAACACAATAACGTATTTGTGCAAAATTTTAATATATGTGACACTAATAGGGCATACAATTTTATAGGTATATCCTATATCAAAAGTGTGCTTAGAATAATTTTGTTTTCAATTTAGGAATATATGGTTATAAATTGGACACTAATGTGGATGATCGGTATAATAATAAAACCTTATCAGCTGCTTAAAATATGCACATTGTATATCACGTTTCAATAAATTTTCAGATCAAGGAGACCGCCAAACAATACAGTTAATTCAGAATTCACATTTAATAGTTTTTTGAAACATTTCAATAGTATTTTCTAAAAATCTAAAGAAAAATGGTATTCCTGAGGTGTCGGTGCGGCACGGTTGTCACGAAAATCACCCTTGCTCCGCATTCTTATCTCTGATTCCGACTCGTCAGAATTTGCTCAGACGTCTGATCAATGTAACCAGTGACAGTTCAGTATAACACCTTGTTTCCTAGGCGACCCATTTTTTTAATTGTTATCGAATTTTAAAAGATAATAATAACAATTCAATGTCTTGATGTCTATTCAAATATGACCTTATGTACATCCTGCACTTCAAGTGCGCAGTTCAAATTTGTAAAATAAATAACATATCTTGTCTGTAGTGTCGATAACATAGAATGCATTTTGTTAACCTTTTTCTGTGTATTCCAATTATGCATTGTAAAATTAATGCCAAATTTGTCAACAGCATCAGACACTTTCAAAACTGTATATTAAGTATTGTCAAATTTTTATTTTTTATTATCCTAATTATAATAAAGTTTAAGACAACGTTTGCTAAAAGCAATAACTTGTATTAAATAATAATGTAGTATATTACAAATCCTAATACTTAGTTAAAAAAATATATAACACAAGATCACTTTGTTAACAACAGTGTATACACTATTATGTTCTGTGTGTTAATCTCAAAAAAACACATCACCATTTATTCTAACGGTTTGAATAAGACATTTGCTGTTGGTATTGTGGATACGGTGATCCTGCAGGATTCCAGTTTGAGGCAGTCGGACTAGTTGGATATACTGGAGCTCTATAATTCGGTTGAACCATAATGGAAGAAGCCCTTAAATTAGTTTATATTTACAAAGCAAAAATACATAATATTAAAATAACTTACATTGTACTGGCAACATAAATTTGCTCCACCTGAAACAAAATCATGTTATGTAAGTATTGTCAAAACATGTATGTAAAAATGGTTTTGACACTGTTACAAACACTATTTTTTCTGATATCGGGACCGACTTACCCTCATACGCCGTGACATATTGTAGAGTACTTGTCCAAAGATAACATTGACGATCCATAGAACAAATCCTTTTGCAGCAATCACAAGTACTGGCAAAAATCCATTAGCACATGTTTCTTCTAGCGCAGTCGTTTGTACACCATACATATTCACACAATTATGGTAATCTACACCGAGAATGATGACTGTAATTAGGTCAAGAAGTGATATTAAAAGGGTTATTTCTGCCCACTGTTTAAGACGATTAGAAAGTACCAGTCCTGAAGTCTTTCCGTTTAGAACTAAACATAAAATAGCAAATAAAAATTCTACACACTAATCGTTAATGTTCTCACTTCTTAGAGAAAACCCAACCCACAGGATATTGAATGCTAAATACACCCACATAAAGCCAAAAAATACAGGTGGCTTTAAGGCTTGATGTGGAAAAGTCGCCGTTTCTCCTGTTAATCAAATTCTTTAGATTATGTTTTCACATTATTAATTATTAAGTCTTACGTGATAAGAAAATCATATACATCACAAAACCTATTTGGTCCATGTACGAGCTCACTGATGGAAAAAACGGTTTTTTAATGTAAAAAGCTATACATATCACCGATAGGATAATCCATGTGAATCCTTGAATCTGTGAACGGTCAAAATGATCGATTTTTAGAAAATATGTACTTACTATTCCCAAAATTGCAGCTGCTTTTCTTAACTGATATTCAATATTAAAATTCCCTACTGTCCTGGACATGATTTTAACTTTTTACTTGTGTAGAGAGAAAATAACTGAACGGTATTTGGATGGTGTGAATACTTCGAGTTCAAGAGCTAGATAAATATAGAGATTAATATACCAAAAGATAAAAGCTATTGATTGACACAAAATACAATGCGCGTTTTAAATACATATAGGAAAAGAGATTTATTAATGCTACTAGTATTACAAAGGGGATGATTAGCAGAATCACGTTTCCGGTGTTAAAAGTTGCTTAAAATTTTGCATCCAACATTGGAGGCGATTATCATCATTTACAGAATAATCCCATTTATTTGAAGTAATCAGTCTTTATTATCTTGGACCGGGGCCTCAAAATGTCACATTTTTGGAATTAGTATGTTGTAACTTCCAGCTTTTTTTTTTGGAATTTTACACAACTTTGCGAGAAGTTCAATTTATCAGTTCTGCCTCACTCTAAATTTTTTACCGTTCCTCAAACATCTTCGCAATTTTGAACTTTTTCACGGCCTCGGTTTTTCGAAAATTAACACCATTTTTTCGAAATCGTCAAAATAAAATATGGCAATTTTTGAGAAATTTTAAAAATTTGAATTTCAAGTGGAATATTCCGAAAACCAGTCGTCATTTTGACTTGGAATCAATGTCTCCGTTATTTAGGGATATTTTTCTGGAATCGCACTATACTATATACGTCTTGAACAATAATGACACAATTTCTTCGAAAGTTTGATGAGAACCCTCAATCCTGGACCGTCAGATTTTTTTTTTTGATTTTTGGACAACTTAACGAAAAGCTGAATTTTTCGATAATCCTCATGAAACTTTTGACCTTTCCTAGAGCGCCTTCGCAATTTAACGAAAACATTTTTCTTGTTGATTTCGGTTTCGATCCCCTGAACTTTTTACGGCTTCAGTTTTTGAAAATTTGTGCTATTTTTCCAAAATCGTCAAATTGAAGTATGCCAATTTTTGAGTTATTTTAAAAAATTTTATATTTCGAAAACCAACCATCGTATCGACTTGGGAATATTCTCTCGGACAGACTCATCATTCCTTTGTAAACATAATTTTTTTCTGAATTTTTTTCCACTCAATTTTTTCGAAATCGCCCTAAATACATCCTTAACAATAGTGCCACAATTTCTCTGGAATTTTCGATGATAGCCCTAAATCTTGGACCGGGGCCACAACATGTCACATTTTTGGAATTAGTATGTTGTAACTTCCAGATTTTTTTTTTTTTTGGAATTTTACACAACTTTGCGAGAAGTTCAATTTATCAGTTCTGCCCCACTCTAAATTTTTTACCGTTCCTTAAGCATCTTCGAAGTTTTGAACTTTTTCAGGGCCTCGGTTTTTCGAAAATGAACACCATTTTTACGAAATCGTCAAAATAAAATATGTCAATTTTTGAGATATTTTAAAAATTTGAGTTTCAAGTGGAATATTTCGAAAACCAGTCGTCATTTCGACTTGGAATTAATATCTCTGATATTTAGGGATATTTTTCTGGAATCGCACTATACTATATACGTCCTTAACAATAGTGACACAATTTCTTCGAATTTTTGATGAGAACCTTCAATCCTGGACCGTCAGATTCATCGAAATAATTCTTCCAGATTTTTTTTTGATTTTTGGACAACTTAACGAAAAGCTGAATTGTTCAATAAACCTGTTGTGACTTTTGACCTTTCCTAGAGCGCCTTCCCAATTAACGAAAACATTTTTCTTGTTGATTTCGGTTTCGATCCCCTAAACTTTATACAGCTTCAGTTTTTGAAAATTTGTGCTATTTTTCCGAAATCGTCAAAATGAAGTATGTCAATTTTTGAGTTATTTTAAAAATTTTAATATTTCGAAAACCAGCCATCGTATCAACTTGGGAATATTTTCTCGGACAGACTCATCATTCCTGCGTAAACATAATTTTTTTTTCTGAATTTTTGGCCACTCTATTTTTTCGAAATCGCCCTAAATACATCCTTAACAATTATGCCACAATTTCTCAGGAATTTTTGATGATAGCCCTAAATCTTGCACCGGGGACTCAACAAGTCACATTTTTTGAATTAGTATGTTGTAAGTTCCAGATTTTTTTTTTTTTTGGAATTTTACACAACTTTGCGAGAAGTTCAATTGATCAGTTCTGCCCCACTCTAAATTTTTTGCCGTTCCACAAACATCTTCGAAATTTTGAACTTTTTCACAGCCTCGGTTTTTCGAAAATTTCCACCATTTTTACGAAATCGTCAAAATAATATATGGCAATTTTTGAGATATTTTAAAAATTTGAGTTTCAAGTGGAATATTTCGAAAACCAGTCGTCATTTCGACTTGGAATTAATGTGTCTGATATTTAGACATATTTTTCTGGAATCGCACTATATACCTAACAATAATGAGAATGACACAATTTCTTCGAATTTCTGATGAGAACCCTCAATCCTGGACCATCCGATTCATCGAAATAATTCTTCCAGATTTTTTTTGGATGTTTGGACAATTTAACGAAAAACTTAATTGTTCAAAAATCCTGATGAAACTTTTGACCTTTCCTAGAGCACCTTCGAAATTTAACGAAAACATTTTTCTTGTTGATTTCGGTTTCGATCCCCTAAACTTTTTACGGCTTCAGTTTATGAAAATTTGTGCTATTTTTCCAAAATCGTCAAAATGAAGTATGACGATTTTTGAGTTATTTTAAAAATTTTAATATTTCGAAAACGAGCCATCGTATCAACTTGGAATATTTTCTCGGACAGACTCATCATTCCTGTATAAACATAATTTTTTTTCTGAATTTTTGGCCACTCTATTTTTTCGAAATCGCCCTAAATACATCCTTAACAATAATGCCACAATTTCTCTGGAATTTTCGATGATAGCCCTAAATCTTGGACCGGGGCCTCAACATGTCACATTTTTGGAATTAGAATGTTGTAACTTCCAGATTTTTTTTTTTTAATTTTAGACAACTTTGCGAGAAGTTCAATTTATCAGTTCTGTCCCACTCTAAATTTTTTTCCGTTTCTCAAGCATCTCCGAAATTTTGAACTTTTTCACAGCCTCGGTTTTTCGAAAATTCACACCATTTTTACGAAATCGTTAAAATGAAATATGGCAATTTTTGAGATATTTTAAAAATTTGAGTTTCAAGTGGAATATTTCGAAAACCAGTCGTTATTTCGACTTGGAATTAATGTCTCTGATATTTAGACATATTTTTCTGGAATCGCACTATATACCTAACAATAATGAGAATGACACAATTTCTTCGAATTTCTGATAAGAACCCTCAATCCTGGACCATCCGATTCATCGAAATAATTCTTCCAGATTTTTTTTGGATGTTTGGACAATTTAACGAAAAACTTAATTGTTCAAAAATCCTGATGAAACTTTTGACCTTTCCTAGAGCACCTTCGAAATTTAACGAAAACATTTTTCTTGTTGATTTCGGTTTCGATCCCCTAAACTTTTTACGGCTTCAGTTTATGAAAATTTGTGCTATTTTTCCAAAATCGTCAAAATGAAGTATGACGATTTTTGAGTTATTTTAAAAATTTTAATATTTCGAAAACGAGCCATCGTATCAACTTCGAATATTTTCTCGGACAGACTCATCATTCCTGTATAAACATAATTTTTTTTCTGAATTTTTGGCCACTCTATTTTTTCGAAATCGCCCTAAATACATCCTTAACAATAATGCCACAATTTCTCTGGAATTTTCGATGATAGCCCTAAATCTTGGACCGGGGCCTCAACATGTCACATTTTTGGAATTAGTATGTTGTAACTTCCAGATTTTTTTTTTTTTTTAATTTTAGACAACTTTGCGAGAAGTTCAATTTATCAGTTCTGTCCCAGTCTAATTTTTTTACCGTTTCTCAAGCATCTCCGAAATTTTGAACTTTTTCACAGCCTCGGTTTTTCGAAAATTCACACCATTTTTACGAAATCGTTAAAATGAAATATGGCAATTTTTGAGATATTTTAAAAATTTGAGTTTCAAGTGGAATATTTCGAAAACCAGTCGTTATTTCGACTTGGAATTAATGTCTCTGATATTTAGACATATTTTTCTGGAATCGCACTATATACCTAACAATAATGAGAATGACACAATTTCTTCGAATTTCTGATAAGAACCCTCAATCCTGGACCATCCGATTCATCGAAATAATTCTTCCAGATTTTTTTTGGATGTTTGGACAATTTAACGAAAAACTTAATTGTTCAAAAATCCTGATGAAACTTTTGACCTTTCCTAGAGCACCTTCGAAATTTAACGAAAGCATTTTTCTTGTTGATTTCGGTTTCGATCCCCTAAACTTTTTACGGCTTCAGTTTATGAAAATTTGTGCTATTTTTCCAAAATCGTCAAAATGAAGTATGACGATTTTTGAGTTATTTTAAAAATTTTAATATTTCGAAAACGAGCCATCGTATCAACTTCGAATACTTTCTCGGACAGACTCATCATTCCTGTATAAACATAATTTTTTTTCTGAATTTTTGGCCACTATTTTTTCGAAATCGCCCTAAATAGATCCTTAACAATAATGCCACAATTTCTCTGGAATTTTCGATGATAGCCCTAAATCTTGGACCGGGGCCTCAACATGTCACATTTTTGGAATTAGTATGTTGTAACTTCCAGATTTTTTTTTTTTTAATTTTAGACAACTTTGCGAGAAGTTCAATTTATCAGTTCTGTCCCAGTCTAATTTTTTTACCGTTTCTCAAGCATCTCCGAAATTTTGAACTTTTTCACAGCCTCGGTTTTTCGAAAATTCACACCATTTTTACGAAATCGTTAAAATGAAATATGGCAATTTTTGAGATATTTTAAAAATTTGAGTTTCAAGTGGAATATTTCGAAAACCAGTCGTTATTTCGACTTGTAATTAATGTCTCTGATATTTAGGGATATTTTTCTGGAATCGCACTATACTATATACGTCCTTAACAATAGTGACACAATTTCTTCGAATTTTTGATGAGAATCCTCAATCTTGGACCATCAGATTCATCGAAATAAATTTTCCAGATTTTTTTTGGATTTTTGGACAACTTAACGAAAAGCTGAATTGTTCAATAATCCTGATGAAACTTTTGACCTTTCCTAGAGCGCCTTCGCAATTTAACGAAAACATTTTTCTTGTTGATTTCGGTTTCGATCCCTTAAACTTTTTGCGGCTTCAGTTTTTGAAAATTTGTGCTATTTTTCTAAAATCGTCAAAATGAAGCATGCCAATTTTTGAGTTATTTTAAAAATTTTAATATTTCGAAAACCAGCCATCGTATCGACTTGGGAATATTTTCTCATCATTCCTGTGTAAACATAATTTTTTTCTGAATTTTTGGCGACTCTATTTTTTCGAAATCGCCCAGAATACATCCTTAACAATAATGCCACAATTTCTCTGGAATTTTGGATGATAGCCCTAAATCTTGAACCGGGGCCTTCAATATGTCACATTTTTGGATTCAGTTCGTTCAAATCTAAGTCCCAGATTTTTTTTTTTTTTGGAATCTTAGACAACTTTGTGAGAAGTTCAGTTTTTCAATACTGCCCCACTATAATTTTTTTTACCGTTCCTCAAGCATCTCCGAAATTTTGAACTTTTTCACGACTGCGGTTTTTTGAAAATTCCCATCACTTTTACGAAATCGTCAAAATAAAATATGGCAATTTTTGAGATATTTTGAAAATTTGAGTTTCAAGCGGAATATTTCGAAAATCAGTTGTCACTTCGACTTGAAATTAATGTCTTTGCTAGACTCATCATTCCTGAGTAAATACAATTTTTTTCTTAATTTTTGGTCACCCAGTTTTTCTGGAATGGCACTCTATATACGTCCTTAATAACAATGACAGAATTTCTTCGAATTTTTGATAACAACCCTCAATCTTGGACCGTCAAGTTCATCGAAATAAATTTTCCAGAATTTTTTTGGATTTTTGGACAACTTAACGAAAAACTAAATTGTTCAATAATCCCTATGAAACTTTTGACCTTTCCTAGAGCTCCTTCGAAATTTAACAAAAACATTTTTTTTTGTTGATTTCGATCCCCTAAACTTTTTACAGCTTCAGTTTTTGAAAATTTGTACTAGTTTTCCAAAATCGACAAAATGAAATGACACAATGAAAAATTTTTTGTTGACTCATCATTTCTTTGTAAACATGATTTTTTTCTGAATAATGCCACAATTTCTCCCGAATTTTCGATGATAGTCCTGAATTTCGGACCGGTCAATTAACATGTCATTTTTTTTAATTCAGCTTCTCGAAATACATCTACCCAAAGTTTTTGTACATCTTTACATAACTTCAAGAATAGTTCAATTTTTCAATATTAGCCTTCAAGCACCTTCGAAATTTAGTAAAGGAGATTTTTTTTTTTGGTCGATTTCGATACCCTGAACTTCTTACGGCTTCGGTTTTTCGAAAATTTCTACCATTTTTTCAAAATCGTCTAACTGGAGTGTAATAATTTTTGAAATACTCAAAAAATATGAGTTTGAAGCCGAATATTTGGAAAACCAGTAGTTCTTTCGACTTTGGATTTTGCTCTTAATTTTTGGCCCTCAAGTTTTTCCGAAATCACACAGAACAACAATGCCACAATTGTACCGGAATTTTCAATGATGTCCCTCAATCTTCAACCGGCACCATCAACATGTCAAATTTTTGAATTCAGTTCGTCGAAATCTATCTCCCAGAGTTTTTTGTGATTTTGTAGGCAAATTGTCCAAAAAGTTCAATTTTTCAATAACTAGGTGGTATATTTTAAAATTGAAAACGCAAAATTTACTTGTTCTTGAACTACTTATTTTTTATCAGATAGCCAACTTGTCTTTTTCAAAAATAATTAGCAAGAAGTTTAACTTAGACACTAAGGTATTATAACAAATATTTTAATAACTTCTTCGTAGTTCTGTACGAAAAATTGTCCATTTTCACCTGTAAATTTCACAGTGAGAATAGCCTTAGCTGCAACATCCTTATTTCTCTACCAAAAATGAAGAACATGTCTTTGAGTATTGTGTTGTTCAAAGAATACTATGTATATTAAGAAAAAAATAAAGCCAAAGATTACCCATCCCGATCTCAATTGTCAATTGCGATAAATTTTTCATTGGTTGTCGGATCGAGGGGCGGGGCTTAATTGCAAGATCCTTATTTGTCTACAAGAATTTACCGTTGTAAACATGTTTTAAATTTCTTGTTCTGACAAGACGACTACGTATATTAAGAAAAAAGGCAAAATATAAGCCTCGCCCACCCGCCCTATCTCAATTGTGATGATTTTTTTAATCGTCAAGAGCCAAAGGCACGGAATTTAATTGCAAAATGTAAGACATGTTTTTGAGTATCGTGTTATTCAAAGAATACTACGTACCTATATTAAGAAAAAATTATAGCCAAAGCTTAAGCCCCACCCATACCTGCCCTGATCTGAATTTTTCATTCGTTGGCAGACGTAGGGGTGGCAGCCTAATTACAAAATCCATATTTCCTTACAAAAATTTACCATTTTAAACGTGTTTTAAGTTTCTAAGAATAAAAAATAATCATCAGAATTGAAATGTGGGAGGTTTATATTTTGCCTTTTTTTCTTAATATACGTAGTATTCTTTGAAGAACACGAAATTCAAAAACATCTTTTTAATTTCTTGTAATGAAATGAGTATTTTGCAGCTAAGCTCATCACAATTGAGATAGGGCGGGTGGGCGGGCTTACTTTTTGTCTTTTTGTTCTAATACGTGTAGACTTCTTTTCACAACATGAAACTTAAAACGTATTTAAAATGGAAAATTCGTATAACGAAATATCGATTTTGCAATTAGGGCTCCGTCCCATAATTGCAAAATTCATATTTCCTTGCAAAAATGTACCATTTTACCCATATTCTAAATTTTTGTTGGGAAAAGATGGCTATGTAATATTAATAAAAAAAGCAAAATGTAAGCCCCGCCCATGCGCCCTATCTCAATTGTGATGAGCTTAACTGCAAAATACTCATTCTGGTGATTGTTTTTATTCGTCGTAAGCTGAAGGGTGGAGCTTAATTGTAAAATCCTTATTTTTCTACGAGAAATTATCATGTGAAATATGTTAAAAAAAAGGCAAAATATAATGAAATTTTTGAGTTATTTTAAAAAATCCGGCTTTAAACCAAATATGTATTTCAAAAACCAATAGTCGTTTCGTCTAGGGATTTTCACTGATAGAGACATCATAACTACATAAACACGAGGTTGTTTTTTTAATTTTTGGGCACCCAGTTTTTCCGGAATCGCGCTAAAAACTTCCGTAACACAAATTTTGGATGATAGTAGAAGTTACCATGAAAGAAAGAGAACTTCAAGAATCAATCACTTAAGTGTTTGACGGTAAAACTTTCAACTATCTCAAAACTTTAAGTAAAAAATGATGTTTTTTGAAGCTTTAAATATTCTGAGAACCAAATATACGCTACACAAACAAAAAACAGGTGACAAGATTACGGTAATTAATTAATGCTGTAGATGTTTCATACATCAGTTATAAAAATTCAGTAAAGTATTATCAATGAATCATTGACAATTTTATCATCAGTTATTATCAACTCATTGTCTAGTACATTTTTGAAATTTTAGTGTGCAAAATCAGTGCACTGATTTTTTTTCACTAAATTTTTTGCATTTGTAGTGTCAAAAAATATATATAATCCACTAATCGGCAGCTTTCGAAGCTCTATTTTTGGCAGTTACTACTATTTATCTTTAATCCTCAACAAATAGCTGCTACATGATCATAGTACACCTAAATAAAAAAAATTATCGATCTTATCAATGGTTCGAGAATTTGAAGTTGACTAGATAAGTAGAACTACTGACGTATTTATATCTACAGAAATAAAAAGAAGACGCTACACAATAAAACTATTACCAGATAAGAAAACACGTTACGTACGGAAATATCAGAATTTTTTAAATAGTTCTTTCGTTGCTAATCTAATTAATTTCGTTCCCGGTTTCTGTGAAATTTGGAAACACAGTAAAAGCGGTAATCAAAATATGTATCAAATTTTCTTTTTCTTTCCAAAAATGATCATGAACTTTTCCTTTGTAAATTACGACGATGTCTTAATTCAACCGAATTTCCAATATGAAAACAGGCTCTGTTAGATATCTGCGAATTCCAGCGTTGTTTTACGAACCAAAATCTATATGTACCTACTATATAATAAAGTCATCTGTAGACGTCATACCTGCTTTATAAATTTTATTGGGATTATATAAGTAACGTTATAAATTTTTTCGAAATAAGCCACTATCTCCACTATTACTTTTTTATCTATTTCAGTAAAAACAAGACGCCTCAGTTGACTGACTGATTTAACAGAAACAGCAAGATGAGTTTAAACGACATTGAAAACTGGGTTAAGAAAATTGCCTGTTCCTTAGGAATTGTAAGTAAAAATGTTGTTAAAACATTTAAGTTTAAATGTTTTTAATATTGCAGCTTCAAGGACTGGCCTATGCAATCCTGGCTCTGATATGTATAATCGTATACAACGACACACCACCCAACCTCCCTGAGAATAGTTACATGGACATGCTGAACGCTTTCTGGTACACGTTTTATTTGGGACGTAAGTACCAAAATACTTCCAAAAAATTCAAATTGTGACAATCATTATCTATATTTTGCAGCTAACTTACGTTCGTTTGAAGACCAAACTTTATATCCACGTGTTTTTGCTGGTTTCGCTTGGGTCTATTTAATTCTCCACATCATCTGGATAGGGGTTTCAGTTTTCGGTAAAAATTCTAAATACAGGATTGGTTACCACTAACAGTAAGGTTTTAGCGTTGCGTGAACAAAATACTCAGGTCCAGAAGTATTTGAAGCTTTGGAGTTACATCACATTTGTTATTTCTTTGTGGGATTTTCTAGTTGTCATTATTTTCGGATCAGATTATGGCAAGTGCTTAAGTTACGTCGACAAGTACTTTTGGATCCCAACTGAGAAAATCGCCAATCAACTGATCTGTGCTAATGCAGTTTTGCCAGTGTTGGTAATCGCAGCTCGAGGATTTGTATTATGGGTTGTTAATGTTATTTTAGCAGCGGCTACACTCAACATGAGCAGACGCTTCAAAACGGTAATTTTGTCTCTAAAGTGTAATTTATAACAAATTTATTTAATTTAAATTTTAGCCAGTGCAGCCACCTGCATATGTTTCACCGTAAGTCACTTATTTTGTTGCAATAATTGTGTAAACAAAATTTATTATCAGGATTGGTTTCCACATACAACATCCTGTTGGCCAGCCTCTTCCAGATCGTCCGCAGCCAGTGACGTGCTCACTACCCCCTCCACCAAATTCGCAGTATCCAGTTCAAATTCCAGAACCGGATTACGACTGGCCTTCGTCACCTTTCAGAAAATGAGTTTGATAATAGGTTTAGATAAAAAAAAACAATAATTTATTACATTACTTGTTATTTTTGTCTAGATTTTACCAAGCATGATACTCTTTTATGATGTAAATATAGTTTTAGTGATTTCTTTTAACTTTGTCTTTTGCTTTCAAATCCACCCATTCCTTTTTTTTTGCTACACAACTTTAAAATTAAATAAAAAATATTGTTTTTATTTGATTGAGTAAAAGCGCAGTTTTATGATTTTTGACATCTCACTTGAAACATGATTGATAAATAGGGATTATTTGCGATAAGCAACAATCGAAAACACGTTCTTCAAAATTTGCAATAAAACTGCTGATAAGTTTTAGCGGTATAAAAGCTACGTAAACTAACTGAGCTCGTCAAACTTTACAATACATACACTGAGAAAGTTTAAGATAAATCGTCGTTACAGTAATTTAAACTATGGCAGTCAATTTAACTTCCTACATACATACAAAAAAAAAACATATTTTACTCTCTTACCCCGTCTTCGCAACACAGCCACCTATTGCCAATTGTACTTTCACCCGGATGCTAAAAAAAAAAAAAAAACTGGAAGAATCTGGAAGAATTTGGAAGAATCTGCAGGGATCTAAAAGGGTCTGAAAGGATCTGAATAGAACTTTGAAAGAATCTTGAGGATTCCTGACGGTGTTTTTGAAAAAATCTTAAAAAATTTCAAAGAACTGGAAGCAATCCGGAAGCATCGGAAAGAATAAAAAAATCGAAAAAACCTGAACGAGAGAATCAAAAAGAAAATGAAATAATTTGAAAGCATTTGAAAGAATCTGGAGGAATTTGTGGGAATCTGAGTTTACCTGTGGGAATCTCAGAGAATCTCAAATATTCAACAAAAATCTAGAAAAATTTGGAATAGTCTGCAGAAAGAAAATGAAAGAATTTGGAGAAATTTGAAGGAATCTGAGAGAAGTTGGGAGATTTGAGAAGAATATGAAAGAATCTGTGAGAACCTGCGAGAATCTCGAAGAATTTAGAAAAATCTGGAAGAACTTAGACGAGTCTGCAGGGATTTGAAAGTGTCTGTAAGGTTCTAAAACGATCTGAATAGAACTGGAAAAAATTTGAAAGAACGTGAAACAATCCAACATCATCCAAAAGGATCAAGAATAATCCGAAAGAATCCAAAGGAGGAATCTTTAAAAAAAAGGAGAGAATCCGAAAACACCTGAAAGAATCTGGGAGAATCTGACGGAATCCAAGAAAATCTGAGAGATATGAAACTCAGAATCGGAAAGAACTAGAAAGAATCTGAGAATATCGAAAGAATCAGAGAGAATTTAAGATTTTGTCAAATTCTTTGGATTCTTTCTGATTTTCTCTTTTGAATTTTACTGATTTTTTCGATTTTTTTTCAGATTCTTTCGAACTTTTCAGATTCTTTCAAAAATACTATCAGAAATCCTCAAGATTCTTTAAAATTTTTCAGTTCTGTTCGGATTGTTTTAGATCTTTGCAAATCCTTCCATATTCCTGCAGATTCGTCCAGATTTTTCTAGATTCTTCGAGATTCTTTCACATTCGCGGGAGGAATTTGAGGGAAACTCGAAAAATTTCGAAAAATATAGAAAAACCTAAAAAAAAACTGGAAGAATCTAGAAGAATCTGCAGGGATCTGAAAGAGTCTGAAACGATCTGAATAGAACTGAAAAATTTGAAAGAATCTTGAGGATTCCTGACGGTGTCTTTGAAGGAATCTTAAAAAAAATAAAAAAATTGGAAGCCATCCGGAAGCATCGGAAAGAATAAAAAAAGTCGAAAAAACCTGAAAGAGAAAATCAAAAAGAAAATGAAAGAATTTGAAAGCATTTGAACGAATCTGGAGGAATTTGTGGCAGTCTGAGAGAATCTCAAATATTCTACAAAAATCTGGAAGAAGTTTGCAGACCTGAATAGAATTCAAAAATTTGAAAGAATCGTTAGGATTCCTGAGGGTCTCTGAAAGAATCTGAAAAAATTCGAAAAATCTGAAAGAGAGGCTCAGAAAGAAAATGAAAGAGAAATTTGAAGGAATCTGAGAGAAATTGGGAGATTTGAAGAGAATCTGAAGGAATCTAAAGGAATATGAGCGACTCTGAAAGAATTTGAGAGAAATTAGGAAATTCTGAAAGAATCTGTGAGAATCTGCGAGAATCTTGAAGAATCTAGAACAATCTAGAAGAACTTAGAAGAGTCTGCAGGGATCTGAAATGATCTGGAAAAATCTGAAAAAATCTGAAACGATATGAAAGGTGAAAAATTCTGAGACAATCTGAGAGTATCTAAAAAATCTGAAAGAATCTGAGAGAATTTAAGATTTTTTCAAATTCTTTGAATTCTTTCTGATTCTCTCTTTCGAATTTTTCTGATTTGTTCGAATTTTTTCAGATTCTTTCGAACTTTTCATATTCTTTCAAAAATACCATCAGAAATCCTCAAGATTCTTTAAATGTTATCTGTTCGGATTGTTTTAGATCCTTACAAATCCTTCCAGATTCCTGCAGATTCTTCCAGATTTTTCTAGATTCTTTTAGATTTTGCTAGATTCTTCGAGATTCTCTCACATTCCCTAGAGGAATATGAGAGAATCTCGAAGAATCTCGAATATATAGAAAAATCTAAAAAAAAACTGGAAGAATCTGGAAGAATTTAGAAGAATCTGCAGGATCTCAAAATTTTGAAAGAATCTTGAGTATTTCTGACCGTGTCTTTGAAAGAATCTTCAAAAAGTTCAGAGAATTGGAAGCAATCCGCAAACATCGGAAAGAATAAAAAAATCGAAAAAACCTGAAGGAGAGATTCAGAATGAAAATGAAGATCTGGAAGAACATAGAAGAGTATTCAGGGATCTGAAATGATCTGGAAAAATTTGAAAAAATTTGAAACGATATGAAAGGTGAAAAATTCTGAGAGAATCTGAGAGTGTCGAAAAAATCTGAAAGAATCTGAGAAAATTTAAGATTTTTTCAAATTTTTTGGATTCTTTCTGATTCTCTCTTTCGCATTTTTCTGATTTTTTCGAATGTTTTCAGATTCTTTCGAACTTTTCAAATTCTTTCAAAAATACCATCAGAAATCCTCAATATTCCAAAAAATTTTTCAGTTTTGTTCGGATTGTTTTAAATCTTTGCAAATCCTTCCATATTCCTGCAGACTCTTCCAGATTTTTATAGATTCTTTTAGATTTTACTAATTTCTCCGAGATTCTCTCACATTCTCTGGAGGAATCTGAGAGAATCTCAGGAATCTCGAAAAATATAGAGAAATCTAAAAAAACTGGAAGAATCTGCAGGGATCTGAAAAATTTGAAAGAATCTTGAGGATTCCTGTCGGTGTCTTTGAAAGAATCTTAAAAAAATTCAAAGAACTGGAAGCAATCCGGAAGCATCGGAAAGAATAAAAAAAAAATCGAAAAAAACCTGAAGGAGAGAATCAAAAAGAAAACGAAAGAATTTGAAAGCATTTGAAAGAATCTGGAGGAATTTGTGGGAATCTGAGTTTACCTGTGGGAATTTGAGAGAATCTAAAATATCCTACAAAAATCTGGAAGAATTTGGAAAAGTCTGCAAGGATCTGAAAGTATCTGTACGATTTTAAACGACCTGAATAGAACTCAAAAATTTGAAAGAATCGTGAGGATTCCTGATGGTTTCTTTGAAACAATTTGAAAAATTGGGAAATTCTGAAAGAATCTGTGAGAACCTGAGGGAATCTCGAAGAATCTAGAAAAATCTGGAAGAACTTAGAAGAGTCTGCAGGGATTTGCAAGTATCTGTAAGCTTCTAAAACGATCTGAATAGAACTGGAAAAAATTTGAAAGAATGTGAAACAATCCGACAGCATCCAAAAGCATCCGAAAGGAAGAATCTTTAAAAAAAGGAAAGAATCTGGGAGAATCCGAGAGAATCCAAGAAAATCTGAGGGGATATGAAAGTTGGAAGGATCTGGAACAATCTGCACAGATCTGAAAGGATCCAAAGCGATCCTGAAAAATTTTAGAGGACGTTAAACGATTTCTAAAAATCTGAAAAATTTTGAAGAAATCTGAGGGAATATTGAGGGATTTTGAGATAATTTGAAAGCATAGAAAAAAATCTATAACAAAGTGTATTTTTTCTAGAAATTTTCGCAATAATTTTTCAACATATTCTCAGAGCCAGGAATTTGCTGCGAACTACTTTAGGTAAATTACCCGAATTTAGACACATTTTTAACAAAATTTATGAAAAACTTTGTATTGATATTTTACCGCTGAGAATTTCAAACAACAAAGAATTTACTGTAATGTAATAGCAGCAACATAAAAAAATAAGCACACGATGTTATTTTTTTGGATGATGAAAGTTTCCAAGGTCATTTGTCTCTAAATGCCTATTTTAAGTGAACTATTCTTAATGTCAGTGAAAAGTAATGATGAAGTACTTAATACTGAAATAAAAACATCCAGAGCTTTTGATATATCGTGATAAATAAAAAGTGAAATCTGAATAAGTGAATTCCTGACACGTGGTTATATAAATTTAATACAATGTAAATATTTATATATATTGTATTAAATTGAATTGGAACCATGAATAGCTAAAAGTCTTAATATGAACTGTGAATTTTGAAAGCATTAACTGATCTTACACTAATTAATTATACTCATTGAAGGGGGACCGTGGCGTCGAATGCGATTTTCCTTATTTTGTTTTTTTCCTCAACCCGAAATTTAAATTTCAAATTCAGGACACCACAATGTGTATCCAAACAGACAATATCGCAGACAAGAGATCCGATTACTTTGCTTAAAAACTGGATAAAACAATACCCAAAAAAATTCTAAACCTTCTTAAGTTACCATATTAGTAAAATGTGACGCAGAAATAAAAACTAAAACTTTCATTATCTGTTCAAATACATATCCTGTATGCACTGACAAAATTTTCCATGTACAAGGAATATTTCAGTAATTCAATTAATTTAATCTTTAGATAGCGGATTAAATCACTACTAAAATCTGTAGTGTTTTATCTACAGTAAGCATTCTTTAATATTATTTTATTTCTAAATTAACGAGTTCTAAATAGGATTCAGTATAATCTTCTGGATTTAAAACTAATACCAAATCAGTATCCAAATCCAACCAAAATTCATTAAAATCTAATGGATACGATAACTGGAAATATCAATTAGCAGCATCAGCTGTTACGAATTAAGTGATGCTACCGCGTTATTAGCATTATCTGAGATAACAAATATATCACTGTTATCAGATTGCAATAGTGTTTGACACTGAAGATGAAGTTCCACTAATATCGCTTGACAAGCATCAGTGTTTTCCGTTTCGCCATTAACGATGGAGCTCAAACCTATCGAAATTCAGCTGAAAAATATAGCTTTTATCCTGGGAGTTGTAAGTATAAGCACAAAAATAGCCGTTTGCCAAACAGGCTATGTTCCAGCTTCAGGGAATAGCATATGCTGTTATGGGGTTAATATGCATAATTTTGTACAATCAAGATGTGATTAATTTCGATCTTAGCGACACAAGTTATATGGATGTGGTGAACCAAAATATGTATTTTCTCCTTTTGTGGCGTAAGTATTGTCGTCAAAAAGATCTTTAATTCTAGTACAAAAATTTTTCAAGAAATTATATTAATTTGACACACTTTGCTCAAATATTTCCAGCTAAAGGATACTGTGGTCTATTTGATTACACTCTGTGCCCCCAAGTTTTCACCGGATTTGCCTGGGTTTACTTCTTCCTTAATCTAGGATGGGTAGGAATATCCATCGAAGGTAAACTTCAAACTCAGAAATTAATTCAAATTAGCTAGTTTTTATTTTTAGCTTCCCGTAAAAAAGGAGTCACTTTGCCGAACTACCTCACAGCGTGGAGTCACCTCACTTTACTAATTTCAGTGTGGGATTTTATCACTGTGGTTATCCTTGGTTCAGACTATAGCAAATGTTTAGATTGGGCTGGTTCGTATTACAGTGATCCACTTGAAATAAGTTATCAAGGAACTTGCTCAACTGGATTCCTGACAGCTCTTGTGATTGCAGCAAAAGGATTTGTTTTGTGGATTGTAAATGTTATTTTCGCCTTGATTTTGCATAACATGGCTAAAGAACTGAAAAAGGTAAAATTGTACCATAAAATTGGTAACGCTGTAACGCAGTTTGTGTTTTAGGGCGGACAAATCTATTTCCAACCTGTTGTACCACCGTAAGTAGCTATATTCGTAGAATGTAGAACAGTACCTGACCCTAAAATTTGTAACAATTTTGTAGGTTAGGGTTCCAAGCGCAACCCCCGCCAGTTCAGCGTCAACCCAGTGGTTATATCTCACAGTCACCACGGACTGCCCCATATGTACCATCACCTCCCCAAAATACCAACCAAAACCACTTCGATTATCCTGTGACAATACCAGAACCAGATTATCACCAGAATCGACACCAGTCACCACCCGCAAGAAGATACTAACTGGAACTAAACCTAATAAAATAATTTTGTTGTTTGTTTGTTGTACCTAATTTTTTATATAAAATTTTAAGTTTTTTAAGAGTGTCAGTAAAAGGTGATCTAAACTTAGTTCCGTCCAAATCCGCCAAATTTTGTCAAATTATTTAAATAACAGTAGGATAAATAGTATCACGTGTCTCAGGGTAATGTTGCTTTTGAATAAATATTTGATCTAACATTAATTTTAGTTACCGCGTTCCCAAAATCAGATAATAATTAATAATTTTTTGACTTCCAATTTAACTCTACTTAAAATTTCAACAAAATATTTCTGTAGTTCGTATATAATTTTTCTGTTACTTACAACAGACAGACAGACGGAAGCCACGAGAACGCATTTTAATAATAATAATAATGATATCCAAAAATGATTTATATGTACACTTTTACAACTAAACTTTCATATAGATAACTAATATTGTACAGATACCTAAATAAGTAGATAGCTTTTTTATCGCTTTTGCAATAAAACTGGTTGTCGAACTTTTACATTGTTGAGTATTCGTTTCCAGTGAAATAAATAAGCAATGGAATTAAATTATTCCTCAAAATCAAATTTTCAAAAATCTGGCTGTTTTTGATCGTGTTGTTTATTGTTCTCGTGATAATAGTGTTCACTTTTATGTTTTCTCGAAGTTCCATAGCTTCTAAGATGTGGTTACATAGAGTCGAAAGTCAGTCCTTTCTACACATCGATCTTTTGTGAGAGATATTGCTATTATCAAGTTGCAACATTTTTGACTTCTCTCTTTAAAATTTAAAAATTCGAAAATTATTTTGTTACAACAAAAAAGAATAGTGAAGAAATCTTCTGTGACCTTTAAAGTTTTTTTACTCTGCATCTTTTGACATCTGTGAAAAAAATGTTTTAGGTCCCCTGTTTATTTTCGGATAAATTTAAAGGAATCAGGCGTTTTGTTGCTTGAAAAAATCTGTTAAGTTTTTAGTGTTTTATTTTTTATGAATTTGAACAAGTCTTGAGTGTTGCAGCGTTTTTTTTAATTTGAGAGACTTTTGGGTACCCATGGTGTATTATTTTGGGAGCCCATGGAGATTTTCTTTGCAGATTATTTAAAACAATGTTGGGAAACCTTGGTGTTCTGTTTTTGGAAAATTCTGACCTGACCTGTTTTTGCGTTAATTTTGAGACCCGTTTTTTTTTTGAAAAATTAAAAAAATCTTGAGGTTTTAGGTATTCTTGTTTGGAAAGAATTTGAAAGTGCTTTGAAGCCTCTAATGTCTTTTCTTATAATAATTTAATTGAATTTCTTGGAGGATCCGTCATTTACTAAAATCTGTCTTATCTTAACAGGTACTAGCCCTGCCGCCCGCCCTCTATTTTGTTAGAGAATATATCATTTGCCAAAATCAGTCTTGTCTTAGCAGCTACTAGCCCCACCCACCCACCCTCTCTTTTCTTATAAGGTATGTCATTTGCCAAAATTAGTTTTATCGTAGCAGGTACTAACCCCACCCACCCGCCCTCTCTTTTTTTAGAGGGTATCTGATTTGCCAAAATCGATCTTATTTTAGTACCTACCAAGATGAGACCGATTTGGACAAATTGGACAAATAACACCCTCTAAGAAAATAGAGGGCGGGTGGGTGGGGCTAGTACTTGCTAAGATATGACTGAACAATATTAAGTGCAGTCGATAGAATGAAGGTGGGCGGGGCTATTGCTTACTTATAAAATACTCTGTAAAAAAAGCTAAATTTATGAGACTGTAGAAAAAAGTTAAACTTAGCCCCGCCCACCGGCTTTTTCCATTTTACTGACTTATCTTATTTATTGTAAAATGGCATTTGAATTCTGTTTTGACAAACGGTAAATTTAAAACAAATTAAAAAGTGGCCCCGCCCACCCACCCCTACTCCGTTTTGATCACTCATTTTATTAGTTCTGATATAAATAGAATCTAAGTTGCAATTTTCCTTTTAATAAAGTATATTTTTTACTAAATTTTGTTTTTTTAACGACTTTGTCTTCATCGTTTACACTTCAATAATAAAAAATTATGTAGACACAATGAGGTGTAATCTCAAACAGCCGCTCATTTCCAGGCCAATGAAATGATTTATTAAGGTGGAGCTTGTATGAGTGGGAGGTGCGTCAGTAATATTACTTTGTAAATATGATTCTCACCTTTGGTATGCTTATTGAACACCGGCTTAATATTTTCTAGATCCTTTGTTTAACAACTGATTTATTTTGTCATCAAAGGTTTAATGGATTTGCCTAAGATTCTAATAAAGTAATAATGTTGTCATTAATTAAGAGTATTAAGAGTAGTCACTAGAGTGGGTGGGCGGGGCTATTGCTTGCTTATAAAAGACTCAGTAAGGAAATGTTAAACTTAGCCCCGCCCACCCGTCCGTTCTGAAATAAAAAAAATGTATACAAGAAATTACTTTTTTTCACTAGCAGCCTGGACGCATGCAAATGTCGACTCATTTAGTGGTAGCAAATTCAACTTTTGCTACCACCGGTTCAAAAAGAAAAATTGAGGTTATGTACGCAATGTTTGATGTGATTATTTCTTAAAAAATGAACAAATGTGTGCTACAAACATTACTTGAGTATACGCATGGTAGTTGGTAGATGGTACAAGATAAAATGATTAACTCAGCGACAAATATAAACGGTTTTCTTTGTGTTGAAGATTTAGATTAAGTTTGATTAGAAATCAAAACAAAATCATGTTGTGTCAAAAAATTGAACGTTTATTTTTCAGTTTATTGTCTTATGAAAAAAATAGTATATTAACCACGGTTGCAAAGCCACTTCTAGACCTCGCCCTTAGAGCCCTCGACGCTGCGCGTCTCGGGTTCTAATTTGCGCTCGGTCTAGAATGCTTGGCTCTGCAACCTTGGCTAATAATATACTATTTTATATAAAAACTAGTTACGATTAGCGCTTTGTTTACATTTTTCGCATCCTAGATTCTATTAGTTTCCACTCCCATTCGACAGAAGAATATAATAAACTCCTCCCACCCATCCCACCTCCGTTTCAGTGATTTATTTTATCTGGAATTAGGGGTGGATCTTATACTGAACAGAAATCAAATCGTTGGAATAAAAACAGTGCGAGTGAGCAGGGTTAGTACTTGGTCAGATAAAACTTATTTTGACAAATCACGGATCCTCTAAAAAAATAGAGGGTGGGTGGGTGGGGCTAGTACCTACCAAGATAAGACCGATTTTAACAAATAACACCACCTAAGAAAATAGAGGGCGGGTGGGTGGGTCTAATATTTGCTACGATATGACGGAACAATATTAAGTACAGTCAGTAGAATGAAGAGGGGGTGGGTGGGCGGGGCTATTGCCTGTTTATGAAAGGCTCAGTAAGGAAAAGTTAAACCTAGCCCCACCCACCCATCCGTCCGTTCTTTTTTTTCCGAGATAAGAAATATTGTTTATATAAAACAGTTACGATTAGCGCTTTTTCACCTTCTTCACATGCTAGGTTTTATTAGTTTCCAAATAATTTTCTTGATACGTTTTATGGTACGGTTTTGCATTTATATTTTATACTGCAGTTGTCAGCATGTAATATGATTCATTATAAAGAAAACATTTGAAAAATGCAATTTAAAAAAACACATCTGATGTTCTAAAACAAAATAAACTTTTTGAAACAATTAAAACAAACCGGTTTTTAATCATCAAAGTTTCTACAGTGACATTTAACTTGAATGAAAATTTGTTATCGATTATTGTTAAAATTTGACATCACCATAACATTTGAAAATAATATCGCGCCAACCATTTGAAGCAGGTTAAACAACAGCAGTACAACAAACATTTCCCAGAATTGGTTATTTCTACTGCCAACTCAAACAATATTGATCAGGCTGTATTTTTTATTGCAAAAAATTTTACTGTTTTTCCGTACAAGATATTTTTTATGTAGAAAATCGAATGATTTGCCAACTATTTATCATTCTGCCAACTCACATACTCCAATTAACGCCCTAAAAAGTATAAACACGTAGTATTTTCTGCTTAATTAATAATAATAATAATAATAATAATAAAGCTCGTCTACAAAAAAGCTCATTTGCCAAAATTACTCTTGTCTTAGCAGCTACTAGCCCCGCCCACCAACCCTCTCTTTTCTTGGAGGATATGTCATTGCCAAAATCAGTTATGGATTTTTCTTCTGTTGGTTTTGTTTTTTTTTTGGTTTTATTTATCAATGAAAAATAACAGCTTGGTATATTAATGATAATGCGATTAATTACTACTGGTTGTTATGCTTATTATCCTAATAAAAATTATCGTTACTAACAAACCAATTTTACTTCTATAAATTTATGTTCTTTTCGTAATCTACATCATAAAGAATTTTTTTATTATTTTTTTTGGGACTCCCGAAACTCTCGTACATAACGTACTGAAGAGTTAATCCGCCATTTTTCAGACACCCGGTATAACAAAATTTTGATATTTTAAACAGCGTTGTATTAAACATATTGGAAAAAATTGCCTGGTTATTATTCTTAAAAATAACACTTTCATACAAAGTATTCATAAATGAGGCGCGAGGCAGCCACTGACTTTGCCGCCTTGTCGAAACAGTAATTATAATCAACCTGTCAAACCACTGTACATATTAGGTAACTTAATAACTTTGACAGTTTTGAATTATTTCATAAAAATTAATTTGACAATACTAATGTTAGGTACTAATTACACAGCGATTATGTACAAAATCATTCCGGCGCAATTTGTCTGCCTTCTCTCAACATTCGCTGGACTCGATTCGACTTACTGACTGAATAATCGTTCCCGACGGTGGCCCCTATTTAAACCCATACATATCTCTGGAGGGATCGCAAACGCCGCTTCTCCGGACTTGTCTTTATGCCAACGCCGCCCGGCCGCGTCACCGCCGAAATATTTTTATCTAATTTTATTGACGTGGTGGATTTTAAACTTATCTGAAAATTCAAGAAATCCTACGTAAAATAAGTGCAATCGTTTGTTTTATGTCTTGTGAAATTAATGCCTACAGGATAACAATCTTGCATTTATGACTAGGTATTTATAAAACATATAACAGATATTTCACAAATGATTCATATTTAGTACAGCTACGGACAACCATGAGGTTACCAAAGATAGAATTTAGTGTGAAAAATGTTGCTGCCGCTTTGGCTATCGTAATTCCACAATTCTATACATTTATTTACTTGTTAAATCTGATTATCTCTCGTTATAGATTCAAGGTTTAGCATGGACAATTATGTCTTTTATATGTATCATTATATACCAGGCACAACCAGTGTTCTTCACCAATCCAACTTCCTACATGGAATATTTAGGACGTGCTATATACGAGATGTTCATTTTAAGTAAGTGATACATTTTACATTTTCATTTGTTGTACAGACTACTCAAACCAAAACGTTTCTTTAGAGGATGGTACGCACTTCCGCGGTCAAATATTTACTTGTGACGTTTTTGCTGCTTTTATGTGGATTTATTTTCTTCTGGACATTGTGTGGATGGGGGCATCAATTTACAGTAAGTGAAAAATAAAAATACTAGCGAAAATAAAGTTTCTTTTAGTTTTAGGGTTGCGGGACAACACTGCGAAAGCAGTGGTGACGTGGAGCTACATTACTTTGTTTGTGTGTTTCTGGGACTTTTTCACTTTTGTTTTACTGGGGGTGGATTACGATAGGTGTCTATATTATAGTGGTACCTCCTGGGGGTCAGATGTAATAGCAGATGAGGGTGTTTGTGCTAATGTCATTCTACCGGTGTTCTTTATTGCGTCAAAGGGATTTGTCTTGTGGATTGTTAACATTGTATTAGCAGTTATTGTCCTTCGAACCTCTAAACAAATGATCACGTTGAATTAAAAGCTGTTTTCTTGCATTGTAAGTGTTATTTAAATTTCATTATCTTTGTGGTTTATGAATCTGCCTTTTTTTATTCTACATTTATGTAACGATATACGACACCGGAAGAGGTTATACTTGGATTTTTCTCCAACTGTTGGTTGCCTAACGGATCATAACACGTGAGTATTCGATAGTTTATCTTTTTACAAAAAAATTTCCGATAACTTATCTTAGATAGTAAATGTTAGGTTAACTAAGCTCAATTTTTTATAATTTTTTGTGTTTCAGGCTCCCACTGTCACTTTATATTCATCTGATTAAAGCTGTTCGTAGTGCCACCATTTCTGGAATACACTTTACCACAGACAACAGAATTTTTTTAGTGTAGTGGAAAAATTAATACATAAATGTCGTCACGTGTTTCACACACACGTATTTTTCTAATTATTGATATGATGGATTTTAAACGATTTTGAATGATTCATTTGTAGCTACGTACAATCATGAGGTTACCAAATGTAGAGTTAAGCGTGAAAAATGTTGCTGCTGCTTTGACCATCGTAAATTCTACACTTCTCTTTGTTTTCTAAATCTAATTTACTCTTGTTGCAGATTCAAGGTCTAGCATGGACAATTATGTCTTTGATATGTATTATCCTATTCCACTCACAACCAGAGTTCCTCAGCGAACCAACTTCCTACATGGAATCTGTGGGACGTGGCATATACCTGATGTTTCTCTCTAGTATGGATAAATTTTTATTTATTTTATATACAAGTCAAACTAAAACGTTTCTTTAGAGGCCAGTGGACCCTTCCCCGGTAAAACATTTACTTTTGATGTGTTTGCCGGTTTCATGTGGTTTTATTTTTTTCTCGACATTCTGTGGATAGGCACAGCAGTTTACAGTAAGTGAAGATTAAAAATATTAGAGAAAATAAAATTTCTTTGGTTTTAGTGTTGTGGAAAGACTCTGCAAAAACAGTGATGGTTTGGAGTTACGTCACTCTATTTGTGTGTCTTTGGGATTTTATTACTTTTGTTATACTTGGGGTGGATTACGATAAGTGTCTGGAATATAGTAACACCATCGAATGGACGGATGTGATAACACTTAAGAGTCGGTGTGCTTATAGTGTTCTTCATTGCGGCAAAGGGATTTATCTTGTGGATTGTTAACATTGTTTTAGCACTTCTTGTCCTTCGAAAGTCTAAACAAATGACCACGTGAAAATAAAAATCTGACTTTTGTTTTAAGTGTTGCATTATATTTATTTTTATCGAGATCTGTATGACAAAATGAAAATAAATGACTCAAAAATAATTAATAAATCATGGAATTTATTTATACGTACGGACGAAGCGCTGCTACCTAGTTATATCAAGGAGTGTTTGGATGAGAATACGCGGTACAATTAATGATTTGGTGGATTTCCAATTTGTTATCAGAAAATTCAGAAAATCCAACTTAAAATACAACCGTTTGCTTTAGCTCTTTCGAAGGTTGATTAATTTATGGCTAGGGATTTATCACACGTATGGTAGGTTTTTCACGTTTAGTACAGTTTCCGACAACCATGAAGTTATCAAACATTGAATTTAGTGTGAAAACTGTTGCTGCTGCTTTGGCCATCGTATTTTATACCCATCTCGTCATTTTTTAAATCTAATTTACTCCTTACAGATCCAAGGTTCAGCATGGACAATTATGTCTTTGATATGTATCATCCTATTCCACTCACAACCAGTGTTTCTCACCAATCCAACTTCCTATATGGAAAATCTGGGACGTGTAATCTACTACACGTTCCTAACTAGTAAGCAATATTTTTTATTTGTTGTACACACAACTCAGGAGAAAACGTTTCTTTAGACAATTCCATTTTCTCGGCTGCCGAAATGGCAGATCGATCGTTTACTCCTGACGTTTTTGCTGGTTTCATGTGGATTTATTTCTTTCTGGACATCGTGTGGATAGGTACAACAATTTACAGTAAGTGAAAATTAAACATATTAGCGAAAATAAAGTTTCTTTTGGTTTTAGTGTTGCGGAAAAACTCTAAACAAGGAATAATGGCTTGGAGTTACGTTACTTTGTTTGTGTGCTTTTGGGACTTTCTCACTTTTGTTATACTTGGGGCGGATTACGATAACTGTCTATATCATAGTGGTAGCACCTGGTGGTCGGATGTAATAACAGATGAAGGGGTTTGTGCTAACGTCATTTTACCAGTGTTCTTTATTGCGGCGAAGGGATTTGTCTTGTGGGTTGTTAATATTGTTTTAGCACTTCTTGTCCTTCGAGAGTCTAAACAAATGACCACATGAATATAAAAATATTACTTTTGTTTTAAATGTTACATTATATTTATCTTCGTCGAATTCTGTATAACAAAATAAGAATAAATGACTCAAAAACAATTAATAAATCAATTTTTAAAAATAACACTTTCGACAGGTTGGGGCGATCCCTGTTGACAAATAGGAGATGCTACCTAGTTAGACGAAGAAACGAGTGTTTGGATGAGAAGACACGGCACAATTAATGATTTGGTGGATTTTAAATATATTATCAGAAAATTCAGGAAATCCAATTTAAAATACGACCGTTTGTTTTATCTCTTTCGAAGATATGATTTATTTATGGCTAGGTATTTCACGTTTAGTACAGTTTCTGACGTTCATGGAGTTATCAAATATTGAATTTAGTGTGAAAACTGTTGCTGCGGCTTTGTCCATCGTACTTTATACCCACCTCATCATTTTTTAAATCTAATTTACTCGTTACAGATCCAAGGTTCAGCATGGACAATTATGTCTTTGATAAGTATCGCCTTATTCCACTCACAACCAGTGTTCCTGAGCGGTCCAGATTCCTATATGGAATCAGTAGAACGCAACATATACGACACGTTCCTCTCCAGTAAGTGACGATTTTTATTTGTTGTACACACAACTCAGCCCAAATGATTTTTAGAGGATTCCAAATTCTTGCCCACCACAACGTCAAGTCGATCATTTACTCCTGACGTTTTTGCTGGTTTCATGTGGGTTTATTTTTTTCTGGACATCGTGTGGATAGGTACAGCAATTTCTAGTGAGTGAAAAATTAAAAATATTGGCGAAAATAAAGTTTCTTTTGGTTACAGTGTTGCGGAAAAACTCTGCAATATCTGTGAAGATATGGAGTTACGTTACTCTGTTTGTGTGTTTTTGGGACTTTCTCACTTTTGTTATACTTGGGGCGGATTACGATAAGTGTCTGGAATATAGTAATATGCTGCCAGAATGGATGGATCGAGTACCAGTTGAAAGTCTTTGTGCTAATATTATTTTACCAGTGTTCTTTATTGCAGCGAAGGGATTTGTTTTGTGGATTATTAATATTGTTTTAGCACTTGTTGTCCTTCGAAATTCTAAACAAACAATTACGTTAAAATAAAAACTGTTTTTTTCAATACTGTATCATGTTTATGTTTATCGAAAGCCATCAAGGGAATTAGCTCTGTATTATATTTTACGTTATCTGCTCTAAATCCTTTATGACTTTATAATAATTAGTTGATAAGTTCGAGAATTGCGCCTTAAACAAATTTTCACAGGTAAAGAGCAACTGTAATTTACTTCCGTGTTTAGATTGCTGCAGAATTTGCTTGTGTGTCCCCACCCACAATTTAATGACGTCATCTCAAATTTTGCTAGGTACATCCGATTGTACTTACACATATAAATTATACCTAAAATAATACAGTGAATAATACTATAATACATAAAATGCTTTTTTAAAGCTATTATATAGATAAGCGGGTATTAGACATTCCAACGGCATCAAGTTTAGTGTAGCTATTGACAACATGAAGTTGCCAAACATAGATCTTGATATCAAAACAGTGTCTCCTGCCTTGACTTAATTCCCTCCCGTGATTTATAAGATGTCTTACATTACCTTATATTGTAGATTCAAGCTTCAGCGTGGACCATTATGTCTTTAATATGTGTGATCCTGTACTATTTACCAATTCTTCCCTACGAAAATCCAAAATCTTATATGGAATATGTGTCAGTAAACATATACGGTATATTTCTTGCAGGTAAGGAGATAAATATGAACTTACTATTTAGAATGTTCAAACCAAACGATTTTTTTAGAAACAGGTCGTCCATTTTTCCCTGACCAAACAGTTACCACTAACGTTTTCGCTGGCTTCATGTGGGTTTATTTCTTCATTGACATTGCGTGGATATCTACATCAATTTACTGCAAGTACAAACTTAAAAGCATTAACAAAAACAATCTTGTGTTTCGGTTTTAGTGCTTCGCAATGACAGTGTAACAGCGGTGAAGATGTGGAGTTACTTTACCTTGTTTATAAGTTTTTGGGATTTTATTACCTTCGTTATGCTCGGTGCGGACTACGATAAATGTTTAAAATTTGCTAATTCTTACGCATATTGGGGAGTACATTTGACGCTTCAGTATTACTGCGCTATTTTCTTTCTACCGGTGTTTTTAATTGCAGCCAAGGGATTTGTTCTGTGGATACTAAACATTGTTCTAGCACTCGTTGTTCTTCGAACGACTAGACAAACGGCGAAGAGTAAATAAGAGCCAGATTTTTATTTGAGATATTGTGACGCGTATTCAATGAAGTATAAATATATAATTGTGTGTTCTTTGATTTGTTTACACATTTTATTTACATTATTGCACAATTATTTTTAGAATTTTTCTTATAAGGCAATCTTTCATTAACGTAACTGTTTTATTACAGAGATAAGTGAAATTTATTGGTGATAACTGTCAGCATAACTGTATTTTCAGCAAACTACATTCCTTTCGTTATGAATGTAGTTTGTAATGTAAAATGTTGGAGGTCTAAATACATACATTGTAACAGGCTCCACTTTGTGAACCGATTTCATGCTTTTTTCTACATTTCATGGCTTCTAAAAAATAAAAAAATAGGTATACAATTTCCGACTGTCTGTGTTTCTCGTCTGTTGTTTACTAAGGGATAGACAATCTCCGAAACTATTAAATTGGTTGTTGATTTAGAGATGTTTTAAGAACATCGATTGGTCTTTTGAATATGAAAAAAAAGTGTAAAAATGTGGAAAAATATGGCGTTCGTATATAACTATAAAGTATGATATAAATTTTAAAATCGAACAAAAAAAGCGGCGAATAGGGGGTTTTACATACTTTTAAGAGATTCTTTTAAACTACTTCAAAAACAAGACAAAGCATCCCCGAAATCTTTTCAAACTGCTTAATTCACAAAAGACGACGGGTTCCTGAGATTCTTTAAAATTACTTCAAAAACAAGAAAAGGATCCACGAAAATCGTTCAAATTACTTCAAAAACAAAACAAAAGGGGGCCCTGAAATTTTCTCAAGCTATTTCAAAAACCAGGCACAAGAGGTTCCCGAGATTCTTACAGACTACTTCAAAAATCATTGACAGGAGGTCCACGAGATTTTTTCAAACTACCTCAAAAACAAGACAAGGTTCTTTAAAAGTCCATACTTTAAAAACAAAATAAAAGGGTCCTTCAAATTTTTTTAAACTATGTACTTCAAAAACACAGGGAATCTCCAAGATTCTTTCAAACTATTTAAAAAGGAATTCCCAAGATTCTTTCAAACTACTTCAAAAAACAGACACAAGGGGTCCCTGAGATTCTTTCAAATTACTTCAAAAACAAAATTCAAGAGGTCCTCGAGATTCGTTTAAATTATTTCAAAAACAAAACAGGTGATTTCCAAGATTCTTTCAAACTTCTTCAAAAACAAACGAAATGAGGTCCCCGAGATTCTTTCAAACTACTTCAAAAACCAGACACAAAGGGTCCCCGAAATTCTTTTAAATTACTTTAAAAAACATACACAAGGGGTCCCGGAGATTCTTTCAAACTACTTCAAAAAACAGGTACAAGGGATCCCCAGGATTCTTTCAGACTGTTTCAAAATCAAAACAAAAGGGGTTTTGGAGAAGATTCTTTGAAACTACTATAAAAACAATGTAAAAAGGTCCTTTAAATACTTTCAAACTAATTCAAAAACACAGGGATTCCCAAGATGCTTTCAAACTATTTAAAAAACAAAAACAAAAGGATTCTCAAGATTCTTTCAAACTACTTAAAAAATCAGACACAAAGGGTCCGCGAGATTCTTTCAAATCACTTCAAAAAACAGACACAAGGGGTCCCCGAGATTATTTTAAATTACTTCAAAAACAAAATGCAAGAAGTACTCGAGATTCTTTTAAATTATTTTAAAAACAAGACAGGTGATTCACAAGATTTTTTCAAACTTCTTCAAAAACAAACCAAAAGGTGTCCCCGAGATTCTTTCAAATTACTTCAAAACACGGACACAAAAGGATCTCGAAATTATTTTAAATTACTTCAAAAATCAGACACAAGGGGTGTCTGAGATTCTTTCAAACTACTTCAAGAAACGAACACAAAAGGTTCTCGAGACCATTTTAAATTACTTCAAAAATCAGACACAAGAGGTCCCCGAGATTCTTTCAAACTACTTCAAAAAACAGACCCAAGGGGTCCCTGAGATTCCTTCAAATTACTTAAAAAAACAGACACAAGAAGTCCCCGAGATTATTTTAAATGACTTCAAAAACAAAATGCAAAAGGTCCTCGAGATTCTTTCAAACTACTTCAAAAAACAGACCCAAGGGGTCCCTGAGATTCCTTCAAATTACTTAAAAAAACAGACACAAGAAGTCCCCGAGATTATTTTAAATGACTTCAAAAACAAAATGCAAAAGGTCCTCGAGTTTCTTTTAAATTATTTTAAAAACAAGACAGGTGATTCCAAAGATTTTTTCAAACTTCTTCAAAAACAAACCAAAAGGGGTCCCCGAGATTCTTTCAAATTACTTCAAAACACGGACACAAAAGGATCTCGAGATTATTTTAAATTACTTCAAAAATCAGACACAAGGGGTCTCTGAGATTCTTTCAAACTACTTCAAGAAACGAACACAAAAGGTTCTCGAGACCATTTTAAATTACTTCAAAAATCAGACACAAGGGGTCTCTGAGATTCTTTCAAACTACTTCAAAAAACGGACAAAAAAGGTTCTAGAGATCATTTTAAATTACTTCAAAAATCAGACACAAGGGGTCTCCGAGATTCTTTTACATTTTTAAATTACTTCAAAAACAAAATTCACAATATCCTCGAGATTCTTATAATTATTTCAAAAACAAGACAGGTGATTCCCAAGATTCTTTCAAACTTCTTCAAAAACAAACCAAAAGGGGTCCCCGAGATTCTTTCAAATTACTTCAAGAAACAGACACAAGGGGTCCCCGAGATTATTTTAAATTACTTCAAAAACAAAATGCAAAAGGTCCTCGAGATTCTTTTAAACTATTTTAAAAACAAAACAGGTGATTCCCAAGATTTTTTCAAACTCTTTCAAAAACAAACCAAAAGGGGTCCCCGAGAATCTTTCAAACTACTTTAAAAATCAGACACAAGGGGTTCCCGAGATTCTTTCAAATTACTCCGAAAAACAGACACAAAGGGGTCCCCGATATTATTTTAAATTACTTCAAAAACAAAATTCAAAAGATTCTCGAGATTCTTTTAAATTATTTCAAAAACAAGACAGGTGATTCCCAAGATTTTTTCAAACTTCTTCAAAAACAAACCAAATGAGGTCCCCGAGAATCTTTCAAACTACTTCAAAAATCAGACATAAGGGGTCCCCGAGAATCTTTCATAATACTTCAAAAATCAGACACAAGGGGCCTCCGAGATTATTTCAAACTACTTCAAAAAACAGCCACAAGGGGTTTTCAGGATTCTTTCAAAAACAAAACAAAAGAAGTTTTTTAAGATTCTTTGAAACTACTTCAAAAACAATTCAGAGAATCCATAAGATTCTTTCAACCTACTTTAAAAACAAAATAAAAGAGTTCTTTAAATTCTTTCAGACTAGTTCAAAACACAGGGATCCTCAAGATGCTTTCAAACTATTTAAAAAAACAAAACAAAAGGAATTCCTAGATTCTGTCAAACTACTCAAAAATCAGACATAAGGGGCCCCCGAGATTCTTTCAAACGACTTCAAAAATCAGACACAAGGGGCCCCCGAGATTCTTTCAAATGACTCCAAATACAAAATCAATCGAGATTCTTTTAAATTATTTCAAGAACAAACGAAAAGGGATCCCCGAGATTCTTTCAAACTACTTCAAAAATCAGACACAAGGGGTCTCCGAGATTCTTTCAAATTACTTCAAAAAAACAGACCCAAGGGGCCCCGAGATTATTTTAAATTACTTCAAAAAACATACACAAAGGGTCCCCGAGATTCTTTTAAATTACTTCAAAAATAAAATGCAAGAGGTCCTCGAGATTCTTTTAAATTATTTCAAAAACAAGACAAGTGATTCCCAAGATTCTTTCAAATTTCTGCAAAAACAAGCCAAAAGGGGTCCCTGAGATTCTTTCAAACTACTTCGAAAAACAGACACAAGGGGCCCCCGAGATTATTTCAAATTACTTCAAAAACAAAACGCAACAGGTCCTTGAGATTCTGTTAAATTATTTCACAAACAAACCAAATATGTCCCGAAGAGGAAGATTTTTTTAAACTGTTTAAAAAATAATAATAGTAATACTTGAAAGACAAAGGGAAGAATGGAAAGAAGTGGAAAAGAGATTCGAAGAAAGAAGAGAAATAATTTCACAATTAATAACCGGTATCAAAGTAATAGAAAAAATAGATGCAAAAGGAGCAGAAGAATTTTTGGAGAAAAAAATTGAGATAGAAGTAAAAAATAAGAAAATTTTGGTTACGACGCTTTGGCGGAAAACAGGAGGTGATGAAAAATAAAAATAAACTGTCAGGAAAAAGAACATTTAATGATAAGAATTGGATAGAAGAAGATCAAAAAATTCAAAAAGGATTTAGAAATGTAGCTAAGGAATAAATTGAAAAGGATACACAACAAGGGTGGCACGTTGAAAGTTGGGGCAAAATATTTACAGTGATAAAAGAAAAATTTTACAAATCAAGTCGAGATTAAGCGAGTAAAGAACCATATAGGGAAGGCGTAGTAATGATAAAAAATAATAAAGACTTTGCATTTAAGGATGTAGTTTATGTACATTATAAGGGAATGGGAAAGAAGAGTGGCTTAAAATTACTTTTGTGGAATTGCGGGAATAAACTGAAAAAATAGAATTGACTCCGACCACAAGTCATTGGAAGTAAAGTTGAAAGGACGGAGTCATAAGTAATGAAGTAGACAAAAAGAAGAGGATTTGGGTATAGAGTGAAAAATCAACTGAGAATAATAAAAAAAAATTGGAAGTTGAATTCAAAGAAAAATAACCGAAACGTAAATGGGAGAATTTAAAACACCAACTGAAAAAGCAGTTATAAGAAAGGAAATTGTAAGGAAAGACTTAGAGCAGAGAAACAAATGATTTAAAAACAGAAGCGATTACGAATTCTCACAGTTCATCACGTCATTGTTGTAATCGCAATTAATTTATAATAATCCTGTAATTAAATTTTGTCACTGGATATCAATTTTTTTTGGGTAGGATGACTAAAGTTATTTATTTCGGACAATATTAAATTGACGTATAGCGATAATCACCTTATATAACAGAAAGAATCTTCGACAAATATTTCAAAAATTATACTTCCTAAGTTCTTAAGAACAACTCAAATTAACAATTGAGTTGTTCTGCAATGTCACTAATCTGTATTGATTTAATTCTCCCCACTTATGACGTCATTGCATATCTCTAATCACAATGATTAATAGTACTTGTCCTTAAATTTTGTTACGGGATGTGATTTTATTTCGCTAAGGACACTTAATGTTAATTATTATGGGGAACATCAAATTGACGTATAGTGATAATTAGCTTTTCAGTTATATAAGTACAGAAACAAATTCAATTAGGTACACATATAGTCAGACAAGTTTAAGTACTCCTTTACAACATGACGGCGAAAGTAGGAGATAATAAATTAAGAAAACTTGCTGCCTGTGTTGGAATCGTAAGTTTTAAAATCAACATTCGTAATCATTTTATTGCCAATGTTATCCTTATTCTTTGCAGATCCAAAGTGTGACATGGATCGTTATGTCTATGATATGTATAATATTATACTATTCGCCCGTTATATCGAATAATTATTCCAGTTACATGGAGTTAATACAACTTACAATTTATGGGTACTTCCTATACAGTGAGTTAATTTAATCCGGAACTATAACAAATAATATTTAACATAAATTAAATGTTGCAGCTAGTGAAGAAGTGTTTCCCAATCAAACCTTCACCGGTACTGTTTTCAACGTCTTCATGTGGTTTTATGTACTTTTGGATGTGCTTTGGTTAATTGTATCTATTTACCGTAAGAAAAACAAAGGATACAATTAAGTGAAAAAATTACGTGTTATTTTTCAGTGTTGTTCAAGAATACTCCAAGAGCGTTAAAAGCCTGGAGCCATTGTACCTTACTGGTATCTTTATGGGACTTTATAACTTTTGTTATACTGGGTGCAGACTATAACAAGTGCTTGGATTATGCTGAAACAACTTTTAATCAAGTAGTATTTCAAGAAGTGTGTGCGAATGCTATCTTACCAGTTTTCATCATAGCAGCGAAAGGATTTACGTTGTGGATATTTAATATTGCACTAGGTGTTATCCTGGAAAGAAAAAGTAGGCAACTGTGATTGGCAAAAATTGATCATTTTGATAATGTGGTTGTAAGTGTGAAAATCTCAAATAGTTAAATAAATTAATTACGAATATACCTCTTTATAAAACATTTTTGTATAATTTTTGGATATTCTTAGTGGAGGTGATTGGTTACCTTCCACATTAACCCCAGACTCTCCACTTTTTGTTTCCTGGTATTGTTTGTGTTTTTGTTTCCTGGTATTGTTTGTATTGTGCGATTTTTATCTATTCTGATCTTGTTAAGAGGTAATAAAATAACAATCAGATGCGCTGAGTTCTGTTCAAATATGAGTTTGAACTACATTTCGTTATCTAGATTAATAGTGAATTATACAATATTATCTTCTTTTCAAGTGCAGGAACTCAATGAGTGTTTTAAAACGAAAGAAAATATTAAATTTTATCTAGTTAATGAAAATATCTGCTGTTTTTAAATTGATTCGAAATATTGTCAAATGATAAGCTAACATATAATTGTAAAAAATTGAGTTTTATTTCACGTAAATAACGAATTCCGTTAGATTTTTCGTTTTGTGTAATTTTCACGTATTTGCATTTCAGCAGCTGTCACTTTCTGATAATAATAAATTGGTGAGTCATCTCTGAATTAATAATAAACAATGGACGAGTGACTCCTGTTTTGAGAGGATGATATGTTTTACACCACGTTACTCAAGACTTTATCTTTCGTTTTAAGAGCTTTTTAATTATAACGAGAATGAAAATGTTTTTCAAGAGTTATGAATTATACATATATACGATTATTATTTTCGTTTATAGCGGTCTTTGCGAAAATCAATATTTAAATAGTGATTAACAAAGCCAGATAGTATAAAAATGAATAAATATTCAGAAGTCATAGAAACTCCTCACCATTTATCTAATCATCACTCAATGAAAAAACTTGTATGCAGAGTCAACAATGATAAGAAATTTGATTAATATATAGGTTGGAAACAGTTAAGTGTGCTTTATTATCAAATTGTAGCAAAAAACGGTTCAGATGGGTAGTGACAGTTCCAATACAGATTTTCTTAACATCTTTAAGTAAGTAGCAGTTTATAGCTTTATATATTACACGTTTATAACAAAAACAGAAAGTACATTTTGGGGTAAAAAACGATATTTAATATACACTCATAAAGCAATAAATATGATAGTGAATCAGAAATATGAATCAATATGGACGAAATTACACAATAAAAAAATATATCGATAAATCAACATTCTGATAATAAAAACAAAAATTGAAGACAATACCACTGACATCATCAAACAAACACCAAAAAATAATCTGATTTTTTTAATTTCTCCATTATTTGAATCGTCAGATCTCAAAAGCCAAAACCAGAAGAAAACCATGACCAACTGTCGCCTTCGCCCTACGCTGATACCTACAAAATGGACCACTCAAAAAGAGGCATCGCCGTTATTTTCAACCACGTCAACTTTTCTCACCCCGAGTGTTCAAAAAGAAACGGATCCGACAAAGACAGAGACGACTTAGTAGATATGTTTCATAATTTGAACTTTGATGTTTTGGTGCACAATGACCTAACAGCTCATGATATCGCCCGTGTACTGATCACAGGTACAAAATGTCGTCATTTAGATATAAATAATTGTTGTTTTTTATAGTATCTGGGATGGATCATACTGATTCCGATTGTCTTGCTGTAGTAGTAATGAGTCATGGAGATAATGGCAAGCTTTATGCAAGGGACCGGGAGTACCCCACTAGGACTATTTGGAAATATTTTACTGCAAGCAATTGTCCCACGCTTGCAGGCAAACCTAAATTATTTTTTGTACAGGTAAGAAGGTAAAATTTGAACCGGCGTATTCACCAAAATTGGAAATTGTAATATACTGCGTTTAGAAGTGGAATTATGTCAGTGTTTTTAGGCCTGTAGAGGAACTGGTTTACATTCTGCTGCAACCCTTCAGTACAAAACTGGTGGAGTAGAAGAAGACAGTTCTTCGGATGACGCTTATTATTCCATTCCAGTAATGGCTGACATTCTGGTGATGTATTCCACTGTTGAAGGTTTCTATTCTTGGAGAGATCCCGGCAAAGGAGGATATTTTATTCAGTCTTTAGTGAAACAGATGAAACTATACCACAAAACTAAAGATCTGTTGACTATTTTAACTTTTGTTAATCGTGAAGTCGCTGTTGATTTTACTTCATATGAACCAGGCTTGCCTGAATACTGTGGGCAGAAACAAATGTGTTCTATTGTTAGTATGTTGACGAGACTGGTGTATTTTAATAAAAGGATTTGAAACTGTTAGGCTAGATGTTATACTTCGCTATTAACTACAGTTTATTATTTATATATTTACTGTAATTTATTATAAGAAAAAATATTGAGAAAAGTGGTAAACAAGGCGCTATTTATTGTTAAAAAGGATTTTGTAAACGATCTTGAGTGGTGTTATCGTAATTAAATAATAATTATTACTATGGTTTTAATTAATTTTTTGCAGCCTTCATAGAGGAAATACAATAATTTTACGTTTTCTCCCACTTTCATGACCTCTACAGGACGAAAAAATAGGTCTCCCGTTTCCGTCTGTCTGCCGTCACGGATATATGTATATTAGACAGATAATCTCCGAAAGTACTGGGTCGATTGTTGTGAAATTTTGTATTTATATTAGGAATATCATGTAGATGGTAAAACGCTAAGCAAAATTTCTCTAATCATCCCCACCACTCATGCTATGACTTCACTTCAAAATTGTACTTCATACCAAATGGGTTTTAAATTGTATAAAATAACATAGTCCTAAACATGTAGTTTATGACTCCGAATTAAGTTTTTACCCGAAACGTCCAGATTTTTGGAAAAAAATCAAAATTATAAATCAACATTTTGCAATTTAATTTGGAAACTGCAAAACCGAATACCTTGCATATGGTTTACAGTTATAATAAGCATGATACATTTTTAATCAAAATATATTTACTTATCCCCTCCAAAAAATTGATGACGTCACCTCAAAAGTTTGGCGAATAAGTTCTATCTAAAATATACAAAATATGATGAGTCTGTACTTGTGATTTATCATTCCATTCATATTTTTTGGATTTGCATATACAGGACTACTCAAAAAAATTAATGAATGCGTGAAGTTATTTAATTGATTTTAAAGTTATCATAAGCATGTAAAATTTTTGATCAAAATGTATTTGCTCATCCACCCTAAAAAATTGATGACGTCATCCCAAAATTTTACTGAAAAAGTCAATACTTGTGATTTATCACTGCATTAATATTTTTTAGATTTGCTTATACGGGGTGTCTGAAAAAAATAATGACTGAGTCAATTATTTTATTGATTAAATCAAGAATTGCAAAACTGAATACGTAATCTTGACGTTTTGACAAAATTTATATGCATTGGTGCTCTTAGAAAGGAACAACAGATCCGAAAGTATTGTTACGTTTAACGGGTGATTGAAATCCGGGGTTGGTAAAACTCAACAATTTACTTCTTAATATCTCGAATTACACGACTAACTATTGCAAACATTATATACAAATTAACTTCATGGTCAAGTTGAATGAATTAGTTCACGCGCTGGACTCGACTTCTTCTGAATTCGATTGAATAATAATCCTCATTCCCGACGGTGGCCTCTATTTAAACTCGTATTTCCTTCTAGACGTCGGGCATTCCTGATCTTTCAGGATTGTCCTTCGCGACTTTCGCTTCCGGGCTTTTCTGCTGTAGCTATCCGCCGCTTCGAGACTGATGACTCACCACCCATCAATGCCGGCCATGTGTCTTTAGAAAGCTCGGGAACCCATAGGCGTCGTACTGGGGCGGCGTATGGGTTTATTATTTTTATTATTTATTTATTTTTTATAGTCTCTGTTGATTTCGTAACAGTATTTTGCTGGCGTATTTTGCAGAAGAAGTAGAAAAAAAGGAAATTTCAACTTTGTTGGCAACATATTCAAAGTTTAAGTTCACGTTAAATATAAATAACCAAATTGACATTTCAAAAAACCCAAATCTGCTTGCTTATCTAAAAAAATTAAATATTGGCTATAGGCCAAAAAATCACGAGTATGATCGAAAGAGGAAATTGATAAATTTAATAATTATTTGACATAATAAATTCATTTAATAAATATAATAGGCTGTAAACATAAATTAACTCAATCTATTTATTTTATCTTCATTTTAAGCTTTTGTCATAAAAGTCTTTTGGGAAGTCTCAAACATTCAATGTCCCTAACTTGGCCTCAAAAACAAAAACAAAAATTATCTGTGGGTTGAGGGCTGATGTTGAGTGATGTAAAAATACAAAATTAGTTAAATTACTCTTCGAAAACTTGTTTATTAGTTTTATAAGTTAAGTAATTTGTAGGTTTTGGACTATGAATTTTCATTGGCAACTGTCAATCTGTAACGCGTATCGGACTTCAACACCAAGTTTGAGATTTCGAGATTGAATTCCCTAGATTTAATTAAAAAAAAACAATTATTAATTAACCGTATAGTTAAATTACTGCCAGAACAACCTTAATTTGGCTATTAAAAGTAACTATGTAGACTTTGTTTGAGCATTTGAATAATAAATCTAGTGAGCGATCTCTGTTGAATTCTATATTGTCTTTGCCATTTCTGTTGAAACACCACCTGTTGATTTTGCTTAAAATTTAGCAATTGGTGACAGCTTTCGGTTGATTGACAACGGCTTTTAGTTAGAAAATTGTCTGAATATGAACGTTGCCAAATTTACAATTAACAAGTGGTGTTTCAATAGAAATGGCAAAGAGTTTATGTACTTATTACAGGTTAATAATGTAAAATGACAGAAAAACGAGTTGTCCTATTTGTCACCTTCTAAAAAGTTAACAATAGTTTCATTATAATGATTGTGGATAAACGATATTTGATATATAGTCATAAAGCAATAAATATGATAGTGAATTTATATCAATCAGAAATATGAATCAATATGAACGAAATTACACAATAAAAAAATATATCGATAAATCAACATTCTGATAATAAAAACAAAAATTCAAGACAATACCACTGACATCATCAAACAAAAACTAAACATTGACACTATTTTGTTCAAAAAATATAATTCTTTTTAATTTCTCCATTATTTGAATCGTCAGATCTCAAAAGTCAAAACCAGAAGAAAGCCATGACCAACTGTCGCCTTCGCCCTACGCTGATACCTACAAAATGGACCATTCAAAAAGAGGCATCGCCGTTATTTTCAACCACGTCGACTTTTCTCACCCCGAGTGTTCAAGAAGAGAAGGATCCGACAAAGACAGAGACGACTTAGTAGAGATGTTTCATGATTTGAACTTTAATGTTTCGGTGCACAATGACCTAACAGCTCATGATATCGCCAGCGAACTGATCAAAGGTACAAAATGTCGTCATTTAGATAGGAATAATCGTTGCTTTTTGTAGTATCTAGGATGGACCACACTGATTCCGATTGCCTTGCTATAGTAGTAATGAGTCATGGAAATAATGGCAAGCTTTATGCAAGAGACCGGGAATACCCCACTAGGACTATTTGGGAATATTTTACTGCAAACAATTGTCCCACGCTTGCAGGCAAACCTAAATTATTGTTTGTACAGGTAAGATTAGATAGCATTGTTTATTTAGTGATTTGCAAATGTTCAAATAGAGGAAAATAAATTTGAACCGGCGCATCCACCAAATTTGGAAATCGTAAGTAGAATTACGTCAGTGTTTTTAGGCCTGTAGAGGAAGTTGTCTACATTCTGCTGCAACTCTTCACTACCAAACTGGTGGAGTAGAAGAAGACAGTTCTTCGGTTGACGCTTATTATTCCATACCAGTAATGGCTGACATTCTGGTGATGTATTCAACTGTTGAAGGTTACTATTCTTATAGAGATCCCGGCAAAGGAGCATATTTTATTAAATCTCTAGTGAAAGAGATGAAACAATACCACAAAACTAAAGATCTGTTGACTATTTTGACTTTTGTTAATCGTGAAGTAGCTGTAGATTTTACCTCATATGAACCAGGCTCGCCTGAACAGTGTGGGCATAAACAAATATGTTCTATTGTTAGTATGTTGACCAGACTGGTGTATTTTAATAAAAGGATTTGAAACTGTTAGGCTAAATGCTCGCTATTATGAGATTAAAAGTAAATTAGTAATTTTTTATATTTATTACAATTTTTTAATTATATATTTACTACAATTTATTATAAGAAAAAATAATGGTCGAAGAAATACAGTACAACTTGTCAAATTTTATTATTTTTTATGGCAACCATTATAATCTAAAATAAAAATATATATGTATTTAATGTTTGAGTAAAGGTAAAGAAACGTGCTAACCGTTTGTTACAAGTGAGTTTTTCTGTTACAAAATTTTGTGTTGATATCATCCACATTTTTACAACGACGCATGTATCAGTTTCGATAGATGCATTGTAATACTAATATCAAGCTGTAGATGTGAGAGTAAAATATAGAAACTAAACTAAAAGATGTTTTCTACGAACTGCAATAACCGGATCACAATGCCGACGGTCCAGACATTTTTATTGTTCTGACTTCCGCTTACTGAATAAAACACTACATTTTATTTTGTTTTTCGATGTTGTAATTCACATTTGGTTAATTATAACTTTTCTAGATCTAGGGGAGGCTCAACATCTCACAAAACTAAAGATCTCGTCATCCCTAACCACAGCCTTATCTAAGGGTTATGAAATGTCGAGAAAATATGAAAGTATCAAATTGCTCGACGGACTCCACTACTGTACGTCCTTACGTTATCCTCGATAAGAAAAACAACTTGAAGGTGTTTATATTTATACATGGAAGAATGTCATGCAGAAATTAGTTTGATTTTAATTAGTTCGTGCCCTCAAAATAGAGGATCAAAGTTACTAAGTAGTGAGCTAGAATCATAAGTATAGACTACTACTACTTATAGATCGAAAAAGTTCTCAACTGATGTAAACAAATACAGAAACTGTTTTCTATAACTAAATTGGAGAACCATTTTAGTAGTGTTGTTGTGGTACCGAACACAGGTCTTCAATCGACACAATATGGACAATATTGGTACTGCCGAAAACGAAACAATTAATTGACTATTTATATTATTCCAATAAAAATACTGGTTATCTGATCTTAGAGCAATACACCACTACTGATCAAAATGGTAAAAGAACATAATATAATAGGAAAATAAAACTTGATCTGTTTATCTTTTAGTAATCCGGAAGAAAGTTCTTGAGAAAAACGCAAATCGACAATTGAATTGGTTTGTGGTATCGGTATCGATGTAATCCTCTCACCTTATCACGTCATTGTTGTATCTCCAATCCAAATAGTTTACTCAAGCTGTACTTAAATTTTGATACTAGACGTTATTCGATTTCGCTAAAAACATTTGACGTCAGTTATTACGAAGAACATTTAGTTGACGTAGAGCGACCATCAGATTTTAGCTATATAAAGTACAGCAACAATTTTCGTTACACATACCTACATACAGTAAAGCAAATTTAAGTACTCATTAAAGTTACAGTGAGAATCAAACATGACCGTACAACAAAGTGATAGTAAATTGCGAAAACTTGCTGCCGGTGTTGGATTCGTAAGTGTCAAAATTAACAATTTTATTACTAAATAACATAATTTTTTCTATGTGCAGGTTCAAAGTTTTGCATGGATTATTATGTCTATGATGTGTATAGTATTCTATTATTCACCTGACCTGCCTACTACTCCTTCCAGTTACATGGGTACAGTAGGAGCACTAATTTATGGCATGTTCCTATACAGTAAGTTAACTTGCTCGAAGGTATGAAACCAGCCAATATAAACCAAAATTTGCAGATGATGTAGAACAGTTTCCTAATCAAACGTTTACTGGTACTATTTTCAACGTCTTCGTGTGGTTTTATCTACTTTTGGATGTGTTTTGGTTGTTTGTGTCTATTCACTGTAAGAGAAAAAACGATATAATTAAGTGAAAATTACATATTATTTTTTAGTATTCCGGACGAACACTCCAAAAGCACTAAGAGCTTGGGGTCATTGTACATTATTGATATCATTGCTGGACTTTATAACTTTTGTTATATTGGGTGCAGACTATAACAAATGCCTGGATTTTGCTCAAAACTTTACTTTAATTGACGAGACATATGTATTGGCATTGCAACAAATATGTGCGAACAGTATCTTACCACCTTTCATCATAGCAGCGAAAGGATTTACGTTGTGGGTATTTAATATTGCACTGGGTATTATCCTGGACAGAAAAAGTAGGCAACTGTGAATGGTAAAAATTAATAATTTTGAGGGCTCCTAAAGAAAAGGATATTTTATAATTCCTCAAAGACTGAAAATCTCATATTTAAATTATGTAATTTATTTAAATAAATAAAGTATAACTTGTTACAAACAGTTTTTTTTTTTCTGAAAGATTCTTACATATATCATAACTTTCGAATGAAGATGTCATCAAACCGCTAACAAATTTTGAAATTGGTTGATAACATTTATCGTCAATGAACTTTTTTTGTTTTTAATTTGTCGAACAGCATTTCCTAGACTTAGTTATCAGTTTTACGTGGTTTATTGTTATTTAATGATTTGCTTTGTTTGCACGATAAAAATCAGTTCTTTTCAGAACTGCTCTATGAGTTTTGTTATTTATGACTTTTTTACCAAGAATGGCTTTTTCAGAACAAAAAAATTCAGTTATCTTACTACTAACTGGGTTATGTATGGAAGAATTAATTTTATTAAAATGTAGGTAGAAATCCAGTTGATTCCGGTTTTATATTTTGATGGTTTCAAAATTGTTGCTGTAATGGACAACGCTCCGTATCAGTCTATTCTATTAAAAGTAATTGGGAAAATGTTAAAATGTAGCATTCATTTCCAACCAAACAATACAAAAAAAGTTATAGAAATAGTTAATATAATCTCATCGAGTGAAAGCATTGAGCCTTTGCGAACGATATTACAATAAACATATTAATAGGGTGACTGACGGTAAAGTATTAACCTATAGGTGGAAGCAAATCTATGGGAAACTTCAGTGTCCAAGGCATACCACAAATAATTATAAATTTAACTGAAGTGATTTTGATTATTCAGATGAGGAACCACATGTGGAAGTCATGGAAATTGAAGACAACAATAATTTAATTTTACATTCGTTTTTTTGTTATTAATAATATTTTGCTCCTTTAATTTCATTTCTTGGTTTGCGTACGTGTTTTTTGTATCTGTAAACTCCCCTGAGAAATCTTCCTGTTAAACACGTTTGTAATGACAGCTTTCAAAACCGCTAACATCGTAATTTTAAAAATAAATTTCACTACCTACTCGATCATATGTTAGTAAATTTGTAACCTCCCTGAGACACGAAAAAGTTGAGTTTGTGGCGGCACAATAATAGGTCGGTAAGCGAAGAAAGATAAGCCGCTCTGTAGTCTAGTGGTCAGGGTACGCGCCCGGCAAGCGGGAAACGTGTGGTTCGGTTCCCACCGGGGCAGCAACATTTTTCTTCGCTTACCTATAAGTTTATTCATACCAAAAGAAGTAGAAAAATCATGATTAAAAAAATACAATTTAAAGTTACTTACGTAAGTACTGCATGTGACACATATACTTCAAATCCGGAATTACATTTTTTTGTATTGATTTAAGATCGCACCTTATCACTTCATTGTTCTAGCTCTATAATTTTTCAAGACTGAAAATCTCATATTTTTGTTGTTTAACATATTTAAATAAATAAATAAATAAATTGTAATTTCGTACAACTGATTTTTTTGAAACATTACATAATTTTCTCAAGACGTTACCACATTAAAAAAAAATTAACGCTGATAGATAAAGTGGAATCTCGGTGAAAATTCAATTATGCTCTACAGATTTTAGAAAAAAAGTGATAAGCCGTCCTTGAGATAATCAATAATAGGTTGATTCATAAGTGCGGATGAGTCACTAAGCGTGCGATCCCTCGATCTCTCATTAATTATTATTATTATTAGAGAGAAAAATTGTACTGTTAAGTAGCATACATTAAATTATTTTCGACTATACCGAGTGTTTTGTTTTTGAGACATAATACACAACTTAGTTTTTTAAATAGCCTTTAAAACTATTGTTTATTTTTGGAATTCCGATGCGACGTTGCCACGTTGTTCCAATTTTGTTGACTTTTTAAGCAAAATCGCAATAATGTTATTTAAAGCACTTAACCTATTATAAATATAATAATAATTTATTTATTATATCTATGTTAAGATTTTAAATATGACCCCACATGGAATTTGTTAAATCGCGTCAATCGATTATCGTATATAGGTAGGTATTACCTTCTACTTCAATTACAGAAATTCAATTATTTTTATCAAAGGCCGCTACAAATAATTGTACTTTCTTAAATTTATCTCCTCTATTTTTTGTTTAAGTTAATTTTAAATTAAAAAAAAATGTCTGTAATTTTTTTCAAAAATCGATACAAATATTCGAACAACTTCAGGAAATATAAATGGTGCACTTCCATTTCTCAATTTGTCGATTTTTCGACTTTCCGATCTTTTGATGTTTAGATTTCGCGATTTTTCAATTTTTCCATTTCGATTTCTCGATTTCTTACTTTGTCGATAATTCATCTTTTGGATTTTTCTATTTACCAATTTTTCAACGTTTAAGTTTTGGGATTTATATATTTAAATTTTTCGATTTCTCAATTTCTTGATTAATGGATTCACCTTTTAGATTTTTCGTCTTTCCGATTTCTTAATTTCTGGAATTTTAAATTTTCAATGTTTAAGTTTTGGAATTTTTCAATATTTATTTCAATTTGTAAATTTTTGGATTTTTTCACTTTCTGTTTTTTTTATTTTTTACTTATTCCATTTTTCAAAATTTTGCGAGTTTTTAAATCTTACATTTTTCAACACATATTTAAAAATAAAGATGCTAGGAGCCCCTAAGATTCTGTAAAGTTCTTTCCAAATAAAGAACTCCGCGGATCTTCCCTCGCCTCTGACATAAAAATAGTACATGTTTAACTTCAATTGTTTATGTTTATATATCGAAAGAATCCGACAATTAAGCACGCAGCAAATTGTCTCCTCAAAAGAGAGGAAGCGATTAAAATTATTCATTAAGTTACAATGCAGCAAAACGTTCAGAATATTATTTTAGGTAAGTCGATGTTATTATGACAATATTTATTTTATCATTATTAAATATATACGCACACAACATTATTGTGTTCTAAAATTTTCGAGCCCTGGCGTCGTCCACAAACAAGTGCTCGTATATTTGTATAAAATGTGTTGATCTAAAAACGAGAAGGCTAAAAATCGAAAGAAAATCGTTAAATCGAAAATTAAAGAATCGAAATATGGAAAAACTGAAAAATTAATTCCGAAAATTAGAAAAATCGAAAAACGAGAGGGCAAAAATTTGAAAGATTAAGAAATCGAAACAATAAAAAAGTGAAAAATCTAAAATAAAAAAATTCGAAAAATTGAAAATTTTAAAAATTAAAACACTTCAACAAATCGAAAGATCAAAAAACTCAAAAATCGAAAAATGTAAGATTAAAAAAGTGGCAATATTTTGAAAAATTGATTAAGTAAAAAATCAAAAACACGAAAAGTCAAAAAATCGAAAAATTTAAAAGCTGAAGTAAGTTCACTTTTATCATATTAGAATTTTTAAAAATTATACAGTTTTTTGGTTTTACGATTTTTATTTTGCAATTTTTTAATTTAACAGTATTGCGATTTGCAAGTTTTTGAGTTTGCAATTTTAAGTTTTCCAAAATTTTGATTTACCTACATTTAATTTTTTCAATTTGTTAATTTACAATTTTTCGATTTCACAGTTAGCTCGATTTGTCAATTTCTAGATCATTTATTCAGTTTTTGGATTTTCCAGTTTCTCAATTTTTAATATTTCGGTTTTCAAATTTTCCATTTGTGAATTTGGTTTTCTTCAATTTTTCCGATTTTTGGTTTTCTAGTTTTCAATCTTCAATTTTCCTGTTTTAGATTTTTTGGAATTTCTTATTTTTTGGTTTTGTAATTTCTGATCTCCCAGATACTTCAATTTTGGGCTTCCTCAATTTTTCAATTTGTATATATTTTGATTTTTCCCTATTTCAGTTAACCGAGTTTTCAATTTTTATTTTAGGTTTTACATTTTTCAAATACTCAATTTTTTAATGTTTTATTTTCCCAGATTCTAATTTTTCGTTTAATTCAAAAATAAATTTATTAAAACTGAAATTTTCACGATCTTACAGTGTTTGGATTTTTCAATTTTTATATTTAAATTTTTCTTAACTAATTAATTTTTAATTGCTTTAGCCACGTTTATTTACATCGTGTTGACTGAGGATTTTCCAATACCACCCATTTTCGAAGTTTTAAAAATTATACAGATTTTGGTTTTACCATTTTTCTATTTTTCGATATTTATTTTGCAATTTTTTAATTGTACAATATTTCAATTTGCAAGTTTTTGAGTTTGCAATTTTAAGTTTTTCAAAATTTTGATTTATCGACATCGACAGTTAGCTCGATTTGTCAATTTCTGGATCATGTATTCAGTTTTTGCATTTTACAGTTTCTCGATTATTAATATTTCGATTTTCAAATTTTCCATTTGTGAATTTTGTTTCTTCAATTTTTCGACCTTACAGTTTTCCGATTTGGGGTTTTCTAGTGTTCAATCTTAAATTTTCCTATTTAACATTTTTGGAATTTCTTATTTATATATTTTTTGATTATGTAATTTCCAGTCTGCCAGATTTTTGATTTGCGATTTTTTGGATATTTCAATTTTGCCCTTCCTGAATTTTTCAATTTGTAGATATTTTAATTTTTCCTTATTTTAATTAATCGGGTTTTCAATTTTTAATTTAGTTTTTAAATTTTTCAAAAACTCAATTTTTTAATGTTTTATTTTCCCAAATTCTAATTTTTAATTTAATTCAAAAGGAACAAATTTTTTAAAAGTGAAATTTTCACGATTTTACAGTTTTTTGGTTTTTCAATTTTTATGTTTAAATTTTTCTTAACTAATTAATTTTTAATCGCTTTCACATTTACATCCTGTTGACTGAAGATTTTGCAATACCACCCATTTTCGAATTTTTGAAAATTATACGGTTTTTTGGTTTTACCATTTTTCTATTTTTCGATTTTTATTTTGCAATTTTTTAATTGTACAATATTTCGATTTGCAAGTTTTTGAGTTTGCAATTTTAAGTTTTTCAAAATTTTGATTTATCAACATTTGATTTTTGTCAATTTTTTAATTTACAATTTTTCGATTTTACAGTTAGCTCGACTTGTCAATTTCTAGATCATTTATTCAGTTTTTGAATTTTCTAGTTTCTCGATTTTTAATATTTCGATTTTCAAATTTTCCATTTGTGGATTTTGTTTCTTCAATTTTCCGACTTTACAGTTTTCCGATTTGGGGTTTTCTAGTGTTCAATCTTAAATTTTCCTATTTAACATTTTTTGGAATTTCTTAATTATATATTTTTTGGCTTTGTAATTTGCAGTCTGCCAGATTTTTGATTTGCAGTTTTTTGGATATTTCAATTAATCGGGTTTTCGATTTTTAATTTAGTTTTTAAATTTTTCAAATACTCAATTTTTTAATGTTTTATTTTCCCAAATTCCAATTTTTAATTTAATTCAAAAAGAACAAATTTTTTAAAACTGAAATTTTCACGCTTTTACGGTTTTTTGGTTTTCAATTTTTTTGTTTAAATTTTGCTTAACGAATTAATTTTTAATCGCTTTCACAGTGTTTTCCGATTTTCCGATTTTTGTTAGATTTTTCAATTTTTCGAATTTATTTTAAGTTTTTCAAAGTTTCTACTTACCAACTCTTGAATTTTTCAATTTTTTGATTTTATAGTTACTTAGATTTTTAACTTTTTCGATTTACAATTTTTCACTTTCAAGTTTTCTAGTTTTCCAAGTTTCGAATTTTTAGATTTTCGATCTTGGAAATTTTTATTCCTTCAGTTTTTCGATCTACAGTTTTTAGTTTCTTGTATGTTCCGATTTTTTAAGTTTTTGATTTTTTGTTTGTAGATATTTTAATTTTCCTTTATTTGAATGAAATGATAATTCAAATCTACAGTTTTTTTGATTTTCAATTTTTAATCATTTCAAATTTTAGCTTTTAAACAATCAAGATCTCATCTTTGTATTTTTAAATTTTGGACAAAAAGAACAAGTTTATTCAAACTGAAATTTTGAAAAATTGTAAAGCAAGAATTTTTTCACTCACTCTTGTATTTTTGACGCGTTTTTTCGAAAAATCCAAAATGAAAAATCGAAAAATTGGAAATCTAACAACTGATAAAACGAAAAAATTAAATATCGAAACATTGAGAAATAATAGAAAAAAGCAATCTAAAAGAAGAAGCAACGAAATATTGAAGAACTGAAAAACCAAAAATTCGAAAAATTAAAAAAGCAAAATTTTAAATTTGAAATTTCAAATAAATTGCAACACGAGAAAATGAAGACCCAAAAATTCAAAAATAGAAAAATTGTGAAATCTAGAAATTGCAAATGTCAAAGATGAAGTAACGAAAAACTAAACAATCGAAAAATTAAACTGGAAACTAAAAAAATGGCAAATCAAAATATTGCAGACAGGAAAAATTAAAAATCGAGGAACGGAAAATTCAAAACACTGAAAAAACAAAAAATTGTAAAAATTCGAAAGTTGAAAACTCAAAAAGTTGCTAATCAAAAAAAGGAGTTGTTGAAAAATTCGAAGACAGCTTACATTTTAAACGATATCTGTTTTGCGTACACTGCAGAGACAAGATTCGAGTCCGTCTCTGTGTGCTGTGTTGAAGGGCACTGTTTAATTATGGGGACAGCGAAATACCTCACCTGCCTCATACACCAAGCCGCCCCTGTTTACACCACCCTTAAATGACTTGGAAGAATTAGGGAATAGGATAACACACAAAATTAATTAAATTAATAACAATACAAGTGTTCTAAAAAATCTGGCTAGGTTGTGTTTACAAGAAGGGACTTTCCACTTCCAGCATTTGTTTGTTGTAATTTAAAGTTGAATTTATTTAATAATTCAACATGGAATTGTTCGACTGAAATATTTTTTATTACTTTATGAAACAAAAATTTGCCTAGGGAACAGTTGCAATGAAGAGGTTCTTCGAAAAAACATCATGATTTTAATAATAATAATAATAATATAGATTTATTGACTAACAGAACAAAAGTTCCAAAAGAGACAAAAATTATACAAAAAAAGAAAGAAAAATAATATTAAAACAAAAAAACTTGATTTCAAAAATATAATTAAAAGTTACTTGCATACGTTATTTCTGTAACTAATGCATATGTCATATGCACTTCTCATCCGGAAAAAAGTCCTTAAGGAAAACGCAAATCGACAATTAAATTGTTTTATAATATTTGTATTGATGTAAACTGGCACCTTAGCACGTCATTGTTCTATCTCTAGTCGCATTATAGATTATAAATCCGTGCATACTTCAGTTTTGTCACTACACGTTATTTTATTCCACTAAAATCATTGAACGTCAATTATTACGAACAACATTTAATTGACGTAAGGCGATCACCGGCATTTTAGCTATATAAAGTAGAGCAACAATTATTGTCTTTACACACATAGTAAATCAAATTTAAGTACTCATTTAAAGTTACAGTGAGAATTACCATCATGACCGTACAACAAAGTGGTAGTAAATTAAGAAAACTGGGTGCCGGTCTTGGAATCGTAAGTTTTAAAATTAACATTCACAACATTTTAATATTAATACGATTCTTACTTTTTGCAGTTTCAAAGTTTGACATGGATTGTTTTGTCCATGATATGTATAATACTCTACTACTCACCTCATCTATCCACTCTTTCTGATAGTTACATGGAGACAATAGGAAAACTAATTTATGCAATGTTCTTATACAGTAAGCTGACTTAATCCGAAAGTAAGACACTAACTAAATATAAACTAAAATGTTGTAGCTAGTCAAGAAGTGTTTCCTAATCAAACGTTCTCTGGTAATGTGTTCAACGCCTTCATGTGGTTGTATATTCTTTTAGATTTGGTTTGGCTGGTTGCGTGCATTTATCGTAAGAAAGAAAATAATACAATTATTTTAAAATTACATTCATATTGTTTTTTAGTATTGTGCAAGAACACTCTAAAAGCAGCAAAAGTTTGGAGTTATTGTACATTAATCATATCGTTTCTGGACTTTATAACTTTTGTTATACTGGGTGCAGACTATAACAAGTGCATGGATTATGCTCAAGACTTTTCTTTAATTGGGGAAACATATGTATTGGCAATCCAACAAGCATGTGCGAACAGCATCTTACCACCTTTCATCATAGCAGCGAAAGGATTTACCTTGTGGGTTTTTAATATTGGTATTGCAGTGGCTGTCATCCTGGACACAAAAAGTTGGCAACGCTGAACGGTAAAATTTTGTAATATTTATAAAATGATTGTTATTGTATTATGGTTTTTACAGGCAACTGAGGACTCCAAAGAAAAGAATATTCTTAATTCTCAAAGAGAAAAAATCTCACATTTTGTTGTTTAATATATTTAAATAAATAAATTATAATTTGTTACAAACGGATTTTTTTTCATTACATAATTTTTTCAAGATATTATCACATATTGAAAAAATTTTAACGTTGGTAGATAAAGTGGAATCTCAGTGAAAACACAATGGTGCTCCAAAGATTTAAAAAACAATTGATAAACCATTCTTGAGATAATAAAAGTCAGTTCATAAGTATAAGGTGAGTCATCAATAATAAGCGTGCCATCTTCGATCTCTCGCACAACTTAGTAAGTTATTTTTGAAATTCAGATACAATGTTGTCACGTTGTTTCAATTTTCTTAAATTGTATTAGAAAATCGCAATTATAAATATATAATTTACTATCAAGTAAGAATTTAAATATGACGAAAAATCTACACTTAATTTTGTTAGATAAAAAACATGAGAGCCCATATGGAGTTTGGTAAATTAGGCTAGTCGATTATCGTAAACATTATCTTATACTTCACATACAGAGATTGAACCAGTTTTATTAAGTGTCGATACAACGAATTGTACTTTAAATTTATCTCGAGCTAAAACGTTGTATATTATAAAATAATATTAAATAATAATAATAAAAATCAAAAGCGCGGTTGTAATGTCAAAATTTTAAACGAAATAAATATATTTGTTTTTTTTTTTTTTTAAAAATCGGTACATATGATCTATTTTAACAAGTTGTGTATGTAGTTATGTGCAATAAAAATATATTTGGAGCAAGCCTGGGAATTATTATTTGCCGTTTATTTACAACAGGGTAATTATTTTCGGAGACTGTGTAGGCCACCGAATATATTTTAGAGCATGAATGGTTTCATCATAGCTATCTTAAATGCATCAGTGCAGTATTTATTTTATTTTATCACAAGCAGTCTAATAATAGTAAATTTGTAATGAATTTTTAAATGATTCTTGTTTGTCAAGCTCACATGATTTGTACTACATAATTCAAAACTTTATCACTCAAGAGCTCTTGCTACATGTCATCATCTGGAAATAAAACTACTTACACAAGACTTACGTTTTAGATATACCTACTGATTATTCTTTTGTTTATCTCCATATTTGGAAAAACCAATATTCAACAAAGCCAGATAGTATAAATAGCAATAATCGGACCTCGCTGATGGTAAACTCCCATTTATATCTAATCATATACTTCACATAGAAAAACATGTATTTAAAGTCAGTACTGATACAAATTTGGTTACATATATAATAGAAGCTGAAAAGTGTTAAGTGTGTATTGTTTTTTAGAACTGTAACAAAAAACCGTTAAGATGTCTAGTGATAGTTCCAGCATAGATATTCCTGACAACTTTAGGTACGCAGCAATTTACTTTTTCTCTTTTAGTTGTAGTTCTTTTTAAATGCTTCATTATTTAAATCGCCAGGTATGGAAACCAAAATCAAATTGAAAGCTACGACCCACTGGCACCTGCTCCATATGCTGATACCTACAAAATGAACCACTTGAAAAGAGGCACTGCTATTATTTTCAACCACGTCAACTTTGACATATCTGAGGACGCAAAGAGAGAGGGATCCGACAAAGACAGAGATGATTTAATCAAGATGTTTCAGATTTTGGATTTTAATGTTTTGAAGCACAACGATCTAACAGTTCGGGAAATCAAAAAAGTGCTAGTGACAGGTATAAAGTAAATATCCTAGTTTAGCTTGAAATGGTTATCGTTGTTTTATAGTATCTACAATGGATCATACTGATTCTGACTGCCTCGTCGTAGTAGTACTGAGTCATGGAGAAAATGGCACATTGCATGCAAGAGATGGGGAATATCCTACTAACATTATTTGGAAATATTTTACACCAAGCTATTGCCCTACACTGGCAGGCAAACCTAAATTATTCTTCATCCAGGTAAGATTAGATAACATTGTTGATGTATATATTTAAAAACGGTGGAGTCATTATGTCAGAGTTTAAGAGAAAAAGATAAAAATAAGACAATCTTGGTTAAAGATCTAAACATTAAAACGTTTTCAGGCCTGCAGAGGAAGTAAACTACACAACTCTGTAACCATTCCTTACAAAACCAACAGAACAGAAGAAGACAGTTCTTCTGCTGACGGATATTATTCTATACCAGTAATGGCCGACATTCTGGTAATGTATTCCACTGTTGAAGGTTACTATTCTTGGAGAAATCCCGACAAGGGAGGATATTTTATTCAGTCCCTAGTGAAACAAATCAAACTACATCACAGAACTAGAGATCTGTTGACGATTCTCACTTTTGTCAACCGTGAAGTCGCTATAGATTTCACCTCACATCAACCAACCTTGCCTGAATACAGCGGGAAGAAACAAATGTGCTCTATTGTTAGTATGTTGACGAGGCTACTGTATTTTGTTGAATAAAGTTGATAATTTCTTATGACGAGTTAAAACATTATTAATCGTTTTGTAATAAAAATATGGATAAATCATAGCGTAGACGCATTATCTTGCACTTCAGATAAGATTTATCTAGCAAAATTTTTGAGATGACGTCAGTTTTTAAAGGAATAACCAAATACAAATAAGATAAAGTTTTAAATTTTCTTGAACGATTTTGACTGTTTTTTTCCAAAATCTAGATGGCCAGAGTGAAAAGTAAGCAAGGTATAGTGTCCGAAATACTACAAGGTTGTAGTGGGATGTTATAATTCCTTTTGCGCGGCTGGTTACCGGCGCAATCCTAGCGTCATAAATCAAGGATTTGTTTCAATATCTTGCCACCTCAATATTTACTGCTGGGCAATCTGCTTAAATAGTTTTGATACATTAAACGAACACAAAAACAATTTACAACTGTGGGTTTGCTTTATTAACTGCCCCATTGTCGTCTTCACAATACCCTAATTTTACAACAGCCAATAACCTTTAGTATTTGGGACACTATATTAAAAACTGTGTCGAAAATAAGTCTGACCGCTTCTTTAGATAAATAGATTTTTTAATAATTGCAAAACATAATGTGTCTTAGATCAATTATGGACATTCCTAAAGTATGATCCACGACTCAAAAAATTATGAACTGCTGAATATAAGACTTCACTGGTCATTGTTTCAGAAGAACGTCAGCCACGTTTCAGGGTGTCGACTTAACAATCTTAAAATGGCAGCTGCATAGACAGATTCACTACAAATATGCGAAGAAATTGAAAAAGGTTTCAAACATTTAAAGTGCTCATCAAATCGAGTATGTCTGTTTAGTTTCCAGATGATGAACCTCATCCTTTTAGGATGATAACCCAGCGTCTAAGGGCCAACAGAACCCCCCCAGGCCAAAGCGTCTGACGACATGGAGAATTCAGACTCGGAACCAAAGAATGCACTGTTGCAAAATTAAAACCCAAGCAAGTGCACCGTGAAAACAAAGCATTTGCACCACTGGAGCTAAATTGGCAAGACCCAAGTTAAGTTAGTAACACATACAATATACAGTACAAAATGCTTCAATTACACAAGTTACAATATACAAATTTCTCCACGTTTGCCACCAAAGAGCGATGACTTTGCTCGCTCGTTGCTGTTGCCCAGCAAGAACCAAACAATACGAGGAGGTCTGGAGTGCGTCTTGCCATTAAAAGAGAGGACTAGGGTTTGATAGCAGGGCTGAAGGACACCGTATTTTGTAAATTTGGACGCCGTAGTTTAAAAATGATGCATACGGTATTTTGTGAATTATGAACGCTGTACTTTGTATACTCTAAAGCCGTACTTTATCAGTCCTGAATGCATGTTATTAACAACATATTTCAATAAAAATCGAGCATTTTTGGAAAAATATCCACTTTCCTTCGTGTTCACAGCACTTAACACAAAACATTTTCGGTAATATTTATTGACAATAAATTAGAAATTCGCGAACACGTGCTACTTTTAACCCAAAATGAAGTTCCAGTGTTGCTGCTACCAGACCGGAATCAAAACTGAACAGAAAGGATCGAAAATGTGACCTTTCATCAGGTAGTTCACGTGACAGTGACATCATCGTACGTCACGATGAGATTGCAAAATATGATATTTTAATTCAGAAATTGTACATTTTCGGGGTTAATTTAACAATGTTTAAACAAACTAATTTGTTTTTGCTAACCTCGTGTTTTTAGGAAAACAGTTTTTGGTTTAATTATCACATATTAATAGTTATCACATTTAAACATTATGAATTATATTAATTATGTCATTTGTGCAACTCTTGAGTTATTCTCTAAAATAAATTGACTGATCCATACATTTTTTTGAGTCACTGTAAAAGCAAATCTAAAAAATATGAATGCAATGATAAATTACGAAAATATACTGATAATATTTTGCACATTTTAGATAGGATTTATTCGGCAAAATCTTGAGATGACGTCATCAAGTTTTTGGGCTTGATAAACAGAATATATATTTTGATTAAAAACGTACCATGTCAAACAGTAACTTCAAAACATCTGCAATATTTCAAAATTAATTAAGTGATTAATTTTTTTGAGACACTCCCTATCAGTGGCGGCTCGTCAGATGAGGCAAGTGAGGCGGCGCTTCACGGCATATATCTTAAGAACAGATTGACTTAATTTATAATTAAAAAAGAGTTTTCAATGCATTTTTAGTTACAAAAATATGTTAAAATGGGAAATCTGTACATGATTTTTTATTTTTTACGCTTCCTGCTGACATTTTTCGTTGAATACCGTACGATTTATGCTCCTAGTTCTTTAACTGAAGCGGCCAGAACGTCGGTTCACTTGAACCAGCGAAGCCCAATCACAGACACGGATTTCCATGACTCAGCTCCCATACTCCTATACATGCGTTCGCTCGGAACTGAGGCGATATCTTCGGTGCTTCTCGGCCAATTTCGGCGTACTCATGAAACCATTTTTCCATTTATTTTACAGAACAGTAGGGTTGCGGGGTGCGTGGGTAATTAGCATGAACGTGAATAAAAACCCACGTGTTGGTGTTTTGTGTTATTGTCTCTTTCATAGGTATAGGTGAGTGAAAAATGAATCCCGAGTACGATATCGTCATGTTGCTTCTTGAAACGCCGTTTTCACGGCGAACCGAGCTAGAACGTCGGCAAATTTTGCTAAATATCGAGCAGTCAAAACCGTTAATTCATTTAACTTCCATTGATAAGCGACAGAATCGTCAGTACTCCAAGTTTTTTAAATCAACTTGGTACCTACGAAACATATAAATGGCTCTGCCGTAATATTTACACAATATCCCAGGATATAACAATTTAAAGAATTTCATCCGAAGTGCAAAATTACATGAAAGGTCCAAAGTACACATTAAAAATTTCATGGGCTTAAAACGTTTAGAAAAGAACACAGCAACTATTCCCGAATCCCTCCAAGAAAGTGCTACTTTCAACAAAATTTTGACTTGTAAAAACATTGTTGATTCAATGTGTTATGGGTGTTATTATTATTATTATTATTATTATTATTGGGGCCTACCACTGATCCGGGAATGACCGGTATTCAGGCAAGACTTCTATTATTACTAACTAGGATGACCAAGTAATATTACTATTATTGTCAAACTTCTATCATCGCCTCACCACATCAGACAGTCACGAGCCGCCACTGCTCCCTATAAGCAAAACTAAAAAATATGAATGGAATGATAAATCACAAGTATAGTCTCCTCCTATTTTGGACATTTTAAAAAAGATTCATTTGGCAAAATTTTGGGCTGACGTCATCAATTTTTTGGAGCAAATAAATATTATTTTGAATAAAAATTTATTATGCTTATCATATGTTTAAAACATCTGCAAGATTTCAAAGCATTCGGTTTTGCATATTCAAAATGAAATTGTAGGTGAAACGAAGTTCACGGGGTCAGCTAGTATAAAATGTATCTTAAGACTAGACTGATGAAATTCTGTAATATTGTTTTAAGAATAAAACACCAGAAGGCTCTGAGATTGTTTAAACTCTTTCAGAAATAAAACATTGGAAATCCCTGAGATTCTTTGAAACTCATTCAAAAATAAAACAGGGCACGCTGACATTTTTTAAAATCCTTTCAAAATAAACCACTAGTGGCCCCTGAGAGCCATTAATTTTTTTAAGACTTTTTGACACTTTTTTCAAAATAAAGCACCAGGGGCCCCTGAAATTCTTTACATTCTTTCAAAAACAAAACACTAGGAGCCTCTGAGACCCATTAAAACCCGCCCAAAACTAAACACTAGGCGCCCCTGAGATTCTTAAAACTCTTTCAGAAATAGAATACTAGGGGCCCCTAAGAATCTTTAAAATCCTTTTAAAATTAAAAAACTAATTTAGGACTAGACTTCTGAGATTCTGTAATATTGTTTTAAAAATAAAACAACAGGGCCTCTGGGAGTCCTTTTTTTTAACTAGTCCCCTGAGGTTCTTTAACATTCTTTTAAAATAAAATACCAGGAGCCCCTAAGATTCTTTAAATTCTTTAAAAAATAAAACATCAGCGGACGCTGAAATTCTAGAAAAGACCTTTCAAAAATAAAACACCAAAGGCCCCTGAGAGTGTTTAATTTATTTTATTTATTTGTTATAAAAAATCCGTATCCCTGCGATTCTTTAACATGTTTTCATAATTAAAAGACTAGGGGCCCCTAAGATTCTTTAAGATCCTTTTAAATATTAAAGACTAATTTAAGAGTTTTAAAAATAAAAAACCAGAGGCCGGTGAGATTGTTTAAATCCTTTCAGAAATAAAACACTAGGAGTTCCTGAGATTCTTTGAAACTCATTCAAAAATAAAACAGTAGGGCACGCTGAGATTCTTGAAAACCCTTTCAAAAATAAAACACCAGAAGCCCCTGAGAGCATTTATTTTATTTTATTTAATAAAAGATCCATACCCCAGGATTCTTTAACATTTTTTCAAAATTAAAAGACTAGGGGCCTCTAAGATTATTTAAAATCCTTTTAAATATTAAAGACTAATTGCAGAGTTTTAAAAATAAAAAACCAGAGGCCACTGAGATTGTTTAAATTCTTTCAGATATAAAACACTGGGAGTTCCTTAGATTCTTTGAAACTCATTCAAAAATAAAACACCAGGTACACCTGAGATTCTTTACATTCTTTCAAAAACAATACACTGGGAGCTTCTGAGACCCATTAAAATCCGCTCAAAACTAAACACCAAGGGCCCCTGAGATTCTTAAAACTCTTTCAAAAATAAAACATTAGTGGCCCCAGAAATTCTTCAAAATACCTTAAAAAAAAGTAGAGGCCCTTGAGATTCTCAAAACTCTTTCAAAAATAAAACACTAGGGGCCCCTAAGATTCTTTAAAATCCTTTTAAATACAGTAGATTAGGACTCGTGAGTTTCTTTAAATTCTTTCAATAACAGAACACTGGGATCCCCTAAGATTCACTGGGATCCCCTGAGATTCTTTAAAACTCATTCAAAAATAAAACACCAGGGGCCTCTGAGATTCTCAGAAATCCTTTTGAAAACGATAAACTGAGACGCAGAGATTTTGTAATATTGTTTTAAAAATAAAACACCAGAGTCCCCTGAAATTGTTTAACTTTTTTCAAAAATGAAACACTGAGAGTCTCTGAGATTCTTTGAAATTTATTCAAAAACAAAATATCAGTGGACAATGAGATTCTTTAAAACTCTTTCAAAAATAAAACACCGGAGGCCCTTGAGATTGTATTGCATTGTAACTTTTTTTTTTATAAAAGACCAGCACCCCTGAGATTTTTTAACATTCTTTCAAAATGAAACACCAGTGGCCTCTGAAATTCTTTGAAAAACAAAACACTGGAAGTCTGTGACACGCTTTAAAATCCGTTCAAAAGTAAAACACTTGGGACCTTTGAGATTCTTTAAAACTCTTCCAAAAATAAAAAGAAAATTTTCAAAATACTTTAAAAAAAGTAGAGGCCCTTGAGATTCTTAAAACTTTTTGAAAAATAAAACAGAAAGGGTCCCTAAGATTCTTTAAAATCCTTTTAAATATAATAGAATATAGAACACTTGAGATTCTTTAAATTCTTTCAGAAGCAAAACACTAGGGGCCCCAGAAAATCTTAGAAATTCTTTTAAAAATAAAAGACTAGGACCATTGAGGTTTTGTAAGATTGTTTTAAAAATAAAACACCAGAGGCCCTTGAGATTGTTTAACTTCTTTCAAAAATAAAACATTGGTAGTCTCTGAAATTCTTTGAAATTCGTTTAAAAATATGTAAAACATGAGGGGACGATAAGATTCTTTAAAACATTTCAAAAATAAAACACTAGAGGCTCCTGAGGGTCTTTTTTGCATTCTTTAACAATCTTTCAAAATAAAACACCAGGGGCCCTAAGATTCTTTAAATTTTTTCAAAAACAAAACATTGGAAGTCTGAGACTTTTTGAAACCCGTTCAAAAATAAAACACTAGGGGCCATTGATAGCTTTAAAAATCCTTTTAAAAATAAAATACTAAGACCAGATTTTGTAATATTGCTTTAAAAGTAAAACACCAGAGCCCCATGAGATTGTTTAACTTCTTTCAAAATTAAAACACTGGGAGTCCCTGAGATTCTTCGACATTCATTCAAAAATAAAACACTGAAGGCCCCTGAGAGTCTCTAAATTTTTTCTTATAATAAAAAACTAAAACCCCTGAGATGTTTTAACAATCTTTCAAAATAAAACATCTGTGGTCCTAAGATTCTTTAAATTTTTTCAAAAACAAAACATTGGAAGTCTGAGACTTTTTGAAACCCGTTCAAAAATAAAACACTAGGGGCCATTGATAGCTTTAAAAATCCTTTTAAAAATAAAATACTAAGACCAATGAGATTTTGTAATATTGCTTGAAAAGTAAAACACCAGAGCCCCATGAGATTGTTTAACTTCTTTCAAAATTAAAACACTGGGAGTCCCTGAGATTCTTCGAAATTCATTCAAAAATAAAACACTGAAGGCCCCTGAGAGTCTCTAAATTTTTTCTTCTAATAAAAAACTAAAACCCCTGAGATGTTTTAACAATCTTTCAAAATAAAACATCTGTGGTCCTAAGATTCTTTAAATTAATTCAAAAACAAAACATTGAAAGTCTTTCAGATTCTTTAAAACCCGATCAAAAATAAAACACTGGGACTCCCTGAAATTCTTTGAATTCATCCAAAAATAAAACACTAAAGGCCACTGGGAGTTTTTTTTTTCTTTTAATGAAAAAATAGTACCCTGAGATTTTTTAACAATCTTTCAAAACTAAACACCAGTTACCCTAAGATTCTTTAAATTACTTGAAAAACAAAAAATTCTGGCAGTCTTTGAGACTCTTTGAAACCTGTTCAAAAATAAAACACTAGGGGCCATTGAGAGTTTTAAAAATCCTTTTAAAAATAAAATACTAAGACCAATGAGATTTGTAATATTGTTTTAAAAGTAAAACACCAGAGCCCCATGAGATTGTTTAACTTCTTTCAAAAATAAAACACTGGGAGTCCCTGAGACTCTTCGAAATTCATTTAAAAATAAAACACTGAAGGCCCCTGAGAGTCTTTAAATTTTTTCTTTTAATAAAAAACTAAAACCCCTGAGATGTTTTAACAATCTTTCAAAACAAAACATCAGTGGCCCTAAGATTCTTTAAATTAATTCAAAAACAAAACATTGAAAGTCTTTCAGATTCTTTAAAACCCGATCAAAAATAAAACACTGGGACTCTCTGAAATTCTTTGAATTCATTCAAAAATGAAACACTAGAGATTTTTTTAACAATCTTTCAAAACAAAACACCAGTGACCCTAAGATTCTTTAAATTAGGTGCTTGAAAACAAAACATTGGCAGTCTTTGAGACTCTTTGAAACCTGTTCAAAAATAAAACACTAGGGGCCATTGAGAGTCTTAGAAATCCTTTTAAAAATAAAAGACTAAGATCTCTGAGATTTTGTAATATTGTTTTAAAAGTAAAACACCAGAGACCCAAATTATTTTTTTTCTCTTAATAAAAAACTAGTATCCTTGAGATTTTTTAACAATCTTTCAAAATAAAACACCAGGGGCCCAAAGATACTTTAAATTCTTTCAAAAACAAAACACTGAGAACCTTTGAGACTCTTTAAATTCGTTTAAAAATAAAAACACTAGGGGCCTCTGAGAATCTTTTCTTTTTCAAAAACTAAACACTGGACACTCCTAAGAGTCTTTAAAATCTTTGAACAATACTTAAAAAACTAGTACGCGTGAAATTGTTTAACATTCTTTCAAAATACATCACCAGGGGCTCCTGAAATTCTTTAAAATACTTTTAAAAATAAAACACGGGGAATCTCTAAGATTCTTTAAAATTCTCTCGACCAAGGGTTCAAGATTTTTACAAATTCTTTCAAGAATACGCAGTAGCTATAAAGCCTAGGAAGAGACTAATGATAATATGAAAATATACAGGTATTCTAATTGAAAAAATTAAGTTGTGTGTTAAGGTTTAAAAATAGAACACTCTATACAGTTGACAATAATGTTAATGTACCTACTTATGTACTCAAAGCACCATACAACTTTCTACATTCTTTAATTTACTGTTGGTTTATTCTGAACAATCCAAAGTTGCGGAGTTTGGTAATTAAAAGGGGATGGGAAAAAATAATACAGATCATTATAAAATACGGTAGAATACAACAAGTTGGCTTTGGAAAATCTGTCACTTTAATAAGAATTTACCAGTTCATGACGTAGGTAATTCAATCTGAATTATTGGTTGCCTATCTATCAAAGAGCAGATACTGAAAAATCATAAAAGGAAGGTAAAAACGAAGTCATGATTGACATTGATGGTAGACGACGATGGTAAATTTCAAAGTCAACTTTGCTGCACAACCTTTTATTATTATTATTATTATAGTCATTGTAAATTTTATCTCGTTCGGAAAACAAGCAGTTTCTATACAAATGGAACAAATAACTTCATGGTTTACTGGTTATTAATGAGAAGAGTAATTATAGATCGAAAACATGGAAACGCAAAGTACAGAGTTTTGAATCCTATAGCAGTTTTGTTTTACTAAAAAAGCTGGAATATTTTGTAATTAATTTGTTTAATTAATGTTAGCTGGTTCATAAACAGTCGTTATCACAATGTTGATGATTTTATTATCATCGATATGACGATATGTAAATATATCTTGAGGTTTTCGAACTTTCGTTCTCTAACAATGAATACCTAAATACTTCATTTACTATCCCAGTAAATCTTAGTAAAAACTGGTTTTCCTTGTTTATGTATTATAAAATTGTATTATTAATAACATTCTCATTTCACACAGTTGCACAATTTTCGTGTGTCCTGAATTCATCTTTTTTCGAAGTGATTCAATTCAACTTTCCGCGCCGACGCGTCCTTGCCCTTTGGTGTTTTCACTTATAAACGCCGCTACATTGGCAACACCAACGTATTGTCAATGTGCTGTCACTGTTCACATGTGGTTGTAAAATTTGGCTGATGCAATAGTTTGTGAACGAATTAAACGCGAATTTTCGTGAAAAATTATACAGTGCTGAAACTTTAACCGGTCGAGCAGACTAAATAAACCCGGAAGATTCTTCTGTAACCAACAAAACCATGGCAGAAGACGACGCAGTAAGTAAACCAGCCCCAATCTGTCACCCTATGTTTATAGGTTATGGACACGCATCATTTTTATCAAAAACTTCCGTTTAATCGCCCATTTTGCCGTATTCTAGATTTTCGATCCGTCTTTAAAAAAGAAGAAGAAGAAAAAGAAGACCGCCTTCGATATTGAAGCGGCTTTGGCGGAGGGAGGCAATGAACCCCAGGAAAACAACACGACGGAGCATCCGGAAGCGAAAGAAGAGGATCAAGACGACGCCAACGTCGACATCGATTTAGACTTCACGAAGAAGAAAAAGAAGAAGAAGAAACCGTTCACTACGGATGACCTGGACGCCGTCATGGGGGAAACGAAAGAGGATGGGGGGAATGAAGGGGGTAATCAGGACGATGGGGCTATTGATGACAACTTCGACCTAGAGATGGACTTTACGAAAACTAAAAAGAAAAAGAAGAAGAGGAACCTTGGGGATCTCATTGCTGAAGCAGACGAAAAACACGACGATAAGGAGAATGGTACGAGTTTATTATATTCAGTTGTGTCATACAATAGTAACAGTAGTACTAGTACTAGTAAGCAAAGTGGGTTGTTATTGCTCCTATTATCACAATTATTGTTTAACATGCGGCAATTCTGTTGAACGAGTTCCGGAGTCAGGTACAAGAACGCATTTTTGTAGTTCAAAAAATATTTTATTCTAATGTTTGTATTGATGGTTGCAGTGGATGAGAATTCAGCGGTGTGGATGGGATCAGATCGTGATTACACCTACGATGAGCTTTTGAAACGTGCCTTTGAGATAATGAGAGACAAAAATCCTGATATGGCGGCTGGGAAGAAGCAGAAGTTCGTCATGAGACCGCCTCAAGTTGTGAGAATTGGTACCAAGAAATCCTCCTTCGCCAATTTTACAGAAATCTGTAAAATGCTCCATCGCCAACCTAAACATTTGCTAGATTTCTTATTGGCTGAATTGGGTACAAGTGGGTCTGTTGATGGCAACAGTCAATTAATTATCAAGGGCAGGTTCCAACAGAAACAGATTGAGAACGTTTTAAGAAGGTAAAAAATTTCAAAATCAAATTAATTTATTAAATTATTAATGTTTGAATTGTTTAGGTATATTAAAGAGTACGTCACGTGTCACACATGCCGCTCCCCTGATACCATCCTCCAAAAAGACACGAGATTGTTCTTCTTACAGTGTGAAACATGCGGATCGAGATGTTCAGTAGCAAGTATTAAATCAGGTTTCCAGGCTGTAACATCAAAACGTGCGGCTATCCGAGCGAAAACAGCCTAGGAAAGTTGGTAGAATATAATCGCAATATTTATAGCAAGCATGTTTATACTTATTTTTTAATTAAGTGCTGTTCATTAGGTGTGTACACTTTGTACGTAATTTAGCCAATTGTTGAATAAACGAGATTGTAACACAACAATAAACTTTATTTTATGTATGTATAACATGTACAAAAAAATTAACTCATCCCTGAAGCAATAATTTTCCTAAAGTCTGGAATTAAGCCTAACCAAATTAAGATACTGTTGACCGTATTTCTTAGCCAAGTAGACACTTTGATTACGCTGCAAGATGGAATTATATGTGGTTGGTAATATCAGATGATGTAGTACTTACAATAGTCTAACTTCAAAAGCCATTTTTGAAGGTATGTTGAATATCCCTTTGCTTGAAGCATCAGACAAGAAAGCCTTTTGGGTGGCTGCTCGCGCTAGAACTGCGTATCTGTCAATGGGATTGCCATGGGCGTGTGCTATGGCTCTTATGGTATTTAAATTCCTGCAAGTATGTGTTTTATGTAACATATATATGTATAAAAATATGTGGTGAGAAATTGAATTGAATTGAAAAATTAAAAATAAGAAAATCAGTCATTAACGTAGACAACCAAGCATAATTAATGTAAAATCATTTTATTAATGATTTCCTGTGTAAAACTGACTATTCCATAAGCACGTGTAATTCTTTTTTTTATTGTCTGTAAATTTACAAGTTCATTTAATATTCTTTAACTGATTATGGTTCGAATACAATTTTACAACGAAACAGCTACGAAAGTATAGTAATTGAGTCCATCGGGCGACTTGACACTTTCTTGTTTTCTCGACGTTTCATTACCACTACAGTACAACAAATGTGGTCGTCCATTTTCGTCTGTCTGTCTGTGACATTTTTTTTTTTAGACGCTAACCAAAAACTGTCTAATCATCCCCAACCAATCATGGGATAATGCCATCTCCAAAATTTACAACAGAAAATATTATTTAAATTTTATAAAACAAGATTCTAAGATATGTATAATTTATGAACCCGTGTTGAGATATTACTATATATTTTTGAAAACTATCCATTTACCTCCTCCCAAAAAATTCATGATGCCATCTCAAATTTTTGCTGCATAAATCCTATCTAAAATATGCAAAGTATGATGACTCATTACTTGTGGTGTATCAGTGGATTAATAATTTTTAACATTGTTCAATAACTTCAATTATAATGTTGTTAAATATATCGTAAATTAAAAAAATACTTTTAAAACTATTTATTTAATACTACTTGCAAAATACACTAAAAATGAAATTATTTGATAAGTTATCAATCTATCTGATTTCTTTGTTGATCTTTTTTTTTTTTGCTAATCTATCTGATATATCTGCTGATCCATCTAATCTATCTGTTTTATCTGTTCATCTACCTGATCTATCTGATATGTCCAATGATCTATCTGACCTATTTAATGTATATGGTGCTATCTGCTAATTTATATCATTTGATCTATTTAACTAATCCATCTGATCTTTCTGTGATCTGTACTTATTAATATAATTTATCTGATACATCTGATCTATCTGATCTTTCTGCGAATCAGTTTGATCTATCATTCATTTTTGATAATTGAGCTTTTGGAAAATTTTCCTAAACATCCACAAAAATTCTGGGATACCGATCTAGAACAACTAATTAGAAAAAATATCATGCTTATGGTATCACACAAAATTTCGGAAATATTTGTTTTGAAAGTTTTTTTTTTTTTTAATTATCAAATATTTAAAATAGTCGCTTTGAAAATCAAATTTTTCAACAATCCTCAAAATTTCCGTAATTCATATCGTAAATTAAAAAAGTACTTTTACAACTGTTTATTTAATACTAGTTCCAAAACATACTAAAAATAAAAATATTTGATAAACTATCAATCTATCCAATTTTTTTGTTGATCTGATTTTTTGCTGATCTATCTGATGTCAACTGGTCTACCTAACCTACTTAATCTATTTGGTGATCAATCAAATCTCTTTGCTGATCTGTATGAACTATCTGTTAATTTATATGATCCATCCGCTGATCTATTTGATCTATTGAATCCATCTGATCTTTCTGTGATCTGTACTCATTTATCTAAATTATCTGATACATCTGATCTATCTGATCATTCTGCTGATCTGTATGATCTTTCTGCTGATCGGTATGATCTATCTGATTTATCTAATCTCTCTAACAGATCTTGCTGCTAATCAGTATGATCTATCTGACCTTTCTGTGACCTGGATGATCTATCTAAATATATCTATCTAATTTGTCTGTACATTTGTTGGTCCATCTGATCGATCTGTAGATCTATCTCATCTATCTCATCATCATCAATCATTCATTTTTAATAATTGAGCTTTTGGAAAATTTTCCTAAACATCCACAAAAATTCTGGGATACCGATTTAGAAAAACTAATTAGAAAAAATATTCTGCTTATGATATCACACAAAATTTCGGAAATATTTGTTTTGAAAGTTATTATTTTTTTTAATTTACCAAATATTTTTTTTTATAATTACTTTCCAACAGGCCGAGAGGCCCAATTACAGGAAAGAGGACATACACAAACACCCAGAGGCAGAGCGGGAATCGAACCCACGACCCAAGGTGTAGTGGGCAGATGCCAAGCCACCTCACCCACCGGGTATTTAAAATAGTCGCTTTGAAAATCAAATTTTACAAGAATCTTCAAAATTTCCGTAATTCATATCGTAAATTAAAAAAATACTTTTAAAACTATTATTTATTTAATACAAGTTGCAAAATATAGTACAAATAAAATTATTTGATAAGTTATCAATCTATCTGATTTTTTTATTGATCTGACTTTTTTTGCTGATCTATCTGATATATCTGCTAATCTATCTAATCTACCTGTTGATCTGTCTGTTTTATCTGCTTATCTACCTGATCTATCTGGTATGTTTACTGATCTACCTGACCGATTTAATCTATTTGATGAACAATATAATCTCTTTGCTGATTTGTATGAACAATCTGCTAATTTATATGATCCATGTGCTGATCTATTTGATCTATTTAATCCTTCTATGATCTGTACTCATTTATCTAATTTACCTGATACATCTGATCTTTCTGCTGATTTGTATGATCTATCTGATTTATCTAATTTATCTGCTGATCTATCAAACTGATCTCTCTGCTAATCAGGATGATCTATTTGATCTATCTGACCTTTCTGTAACCTGGCTGATCTATCTATTGATCTATCTAATTTATTTGACCATTTATTGATCTATCTAATCTACCTGTAGATCTATCTCATCTATCTCATCATCATCAATCACTCATTTTCAATTATTGAACTTTTGGAAAAGTACCCTAAACATCCACAAAAATTGTGGGATACCGATCTAAAGAACTAACTAGAAAAAAATATCCTGCTTACGGTATGACACAAAATTTTGGAAATATTTGTTTTGAAAGTTTTTTTTTTTTAATTATCAAAATCGTAAGACATATTTCATATTGACAATTCTGAAGAAATCAAGGAGTTTTCGATGATGCTAAAGAAAATGTCAAAAATTTCATATTCAAAAAATTAGTTTTTGCAAAAGTTACCTAAACATCCACCTGAACTCTAAAATATAGATCTCGATGAACTGATTTGAAAAAAATATCCTATTTATCGTCTAGGACCACAATAGTCGCTTTAAAAATTAAAATTTTTCAAGAATCCTCAAAATGTTGCTTTCTGAATGATCTATCTGATTTATCTAATCTATCTGACCTTTCTGTGACCAGGATGATCTATCTGTTGATCTATCTAATTTGTCTGAACATTTGTTGGTCGATCTGATCTATCTGTAGATCTATCTCATATATCTCATCATCATCAATCATTCATTTTTAATAATTGAGCTTTTGGAAAAGTTCCCTAAACATCCACAAACATTCTGGGATACCGATCTAGAAAAACTAATAAGAAAAAAATATTCTGCTTATGTATTACACAAAATTTCGGAAATATTTGTTTTGAAAGTAATTTTTTTTTAAATTATCAAATATTTAAAATAGTCTCTTTGAAAATCAAATTTTTCAAGAATCCTCCAAATTTCCGTAATTCATATCGTAAATTAAAAAAATACTTTTAAAACTATTTATTTAATACAAGTTGCAAAATATAGTACAACTATGAAAGTATTTGACAAGTTATCAATCTATCTGATTTTTTGTTGATCTGTCTGTTTTATCTGCTTATCTACCTGATCTATCTGTTATGTCTACTGATCTACCTAACCTATTTAATCTATTTGGTGAACAATCTAATCTCTTTGCTGACCTGTATCAAATATCTGCTAATTTATATGATCTATCTGCTGATCTATTTGATCTATTTAATCTATCTAATCTTTCCGTGATGTGTACTTATTTATCTAATTTATCTGATACATCTGATCTTTCTGTTGATCTGTATGATCTATCTTATTTATCTAATCCATCTGTTGATCTATCTATCTGATCTTTCTGCTAATCAGGATGATCTATTTGATCTATCTGTGACCTAGATGATCTATCTAATTTGTCTGATCATTCGTTGGTTGATCTGATCTATCTGTAGATCTAACTCATCTATCTCATCATCATCAATCACTCATTTTTAATCATTGAACCTTTGGAAAAGTTCCCTAAACCTCCACAAAAATTCTGGGATACCGATCTAGACGAACTAATTAGACAAGTATATCCTGCTTAGGGTATGACCAAATTTTGGAAATATTTGTTTTGAAAGTATTTTTTTTTAATTATCAAAATTGTAATACATATTTCATATTGGCGATTCTGAAGAAATGAAAGAGTTTTCGAAAAAAATAAAATTTATATGATCCATCTGCTGATCTATTTGATCTATTTAATCCATATGATCTTTCTGTGATCTGTACTTATTTATCTAATTTATCTGATTATCTGCTGATACATCTAACTATCTGATCTGTATGAGCTGTCTGATTTATGTAATCTATCTGACCTTTCTGTGACCTAGATGATCAGAATTGATCTATCAAATTTGTCTGACCATTTGATCTATTTGCTGACTATCTGATCTCTCTGCTGATTAGTATGATCTATCTAATCTTTCTGTTGATCTGTATGATATATCTGCTATCTATTTTCTTGCTGATCTATCACATCTATCTGTTGAATTATGCGATATTTGTGCTTATCTGTATGATGTATCTGCTGATTTATCTAACTTATATCTCTCGGGGGAGCCTGCAACCCCTAGAGAGCGCGTCCCCGGGTGGCGGATAGGGGAATGCCCGACCCGGTTTTCCGGTGGGTAGGAGGGAAATAAAATACCTCCCGCGGACCAACAGGTGGGGCAGAAGGGGCTCCTAAGCCGTAGAGAAGGCAACCCTTCTAGAAGACCAGTCTGATCTGTTTGATTATCTGTTCTATTTATCTATTTATCTGCCTGGTGTCTGTGTCGATCTATATTAGACAGATAATCTCTGAAACTACTGGACCGATTGTCGTCAAACTTTATATGTATTTTAGAAGTATTATCTACCTAGGTGATAAATGCTAACTAAAATTTGTCTAATTATCCTCGTCAACAACTTGATGACGTCCACTCATTATATTGCGTAGTTAAGGTTATCTAAATTTTATGAAATAATAATGCGCCTGTTGTGGTTGATGACTCTACCTTGATTATTTTTTACTATTATTATTATTATATATTTTATTGTTTAATTCATCTTATTCTTTGGACGTTATACGATTTTCCACTATCACATTTTTTTGTAACAATGATATGGAAAGATTCCATAACTTCTCAGTCGAAATTTACAAATTATCATCAGTTAAATTAATATCATCATGTAAATTTTTTATTGCTTGAAATTCGAGAAAGATAGAATCTGAATAAAAATAAAAGCACTAAATTTCGTCGTGGCTTCTGATTAAAACGTCCATTTTGTTGACAATCACAGTTCAAGGCTAAATTTTGAATTTTTTGTGGGTTTTTACAATTTTCTTCGTGTCTCATTTTGGTGGGATGTTTAGGTTAGCACAATATTAAATTTCGAAAAAGCTTTAAAATCATTTTTCCTTTTGTATAGGAACCTATGGGTATGTGCTTCTGCATACTTAACAACAGTAACAATAAAAATAATGACTATAATTAAACATTTCAGATACTTTTTAAAGTTGATTGCAAATATTTAGTCATAATAACGAAGTTTATGTTTGATAATTACTGTTAATTAAAAAAATACTAAAGAAACATTTGCGCGTCAGCAACATTATATCTTAACAAAGCGCATGCGCAATTTTCATAAACAGAAAATAACACAGTAACTGTAATTTGTTGCTACCAGTGGCGGCTCGTGCGTAGAAAATTCAAAGGTTCATGACACTTGTGTTTGTGTAAACATTAATATACGCACTAACCTTATAACAAGTAACAGAGACGTGGGAATCACTTTTAACGTTACCATAATAGCATTAAACTTCGTCCTCGCTACCATGGTGATATGTTTTAAATCTTCTTCAGAGAGTTTAGCTTTCAGCTGGAACTGAAGCCTTCTTAGTGGCGCTTGCGTCAGAATTTCAGCAAAAGTTACATAATCTAAAACACAAACATCAAAAGTTTATTACACCTTTGTAAAAATATACCATCAACTCCAAATTGCTTTGCATAGAACTTCATATTTTTGTGGTCCCGTAATACTATGGCTTTCCACATGTGACTTAGATCTGTCATATGTTCCGGTTTGAGCGTTTGGTATAGTCCATGATCTAGTAAAACCAGCTGTGTGTTTCCATCAACTCGCCTTACCAAAACTGAAAAAGGAACAGTCCTAAGCTCAAAAGTCATGTTGATTTAAAAATATCTCATAAATCACTTGGATTTGAATTGTTGACCCTGTAGCGTACGTAAAGTGTCACTTACTATTTCCGGCATGAGGATCCGCATGCACAAACCCACATTGAAAAATCTGGTGCCCGAAAATCTCAAACAACTTAACATTAATCTCCTTCAGCGAAAACTTATGCTCTTTCAAAAACGTGACATCGCTGATCTTGCGCCCATCAATATACTCCATCACCAGAACCCTCTAAAACAAACCACCGATATGACATTAACATCCTCTTCAAACGTCATCAGTACCTAAAATACCGTGCTCGTGTAATCCCAGTAGATTTTAGGAACGTAAACGTAATTAAACTTCTTCAAATCATTGGCACACCGTTCCGCGTTCCTCCCCTCATTCACGAAATCCAGCTCCTGCTTCAAAGTATCCACGATTTCCTCTAGGACCCACCCGAAATTGAAATCCGGGTGCATGAACCCGATCCCTCTGAGCAGAAGCTTGATGGTGTAGACGTCGCTGATGAAACGTTTTCGGAGATCAATGTATTGTACTTTGACGGCGACTTCGTCGCCGGTTGTGGTTTTGGCTCTGAAGACTTGTGCTAGACTCGCGGCGGCGATCGGGGTGGTGTCGAAGGACTCGAACATCTCGGTTGGGGATTTGCCGAAGTCTTCTTTGAAGAGTTTGACGACCTCGTCGGCGCCTCGGGTTAGACATTTGTCTTGGAGGGCTTTCAATGTTTGGATGTATTCTTTGGGTAAGATGTGACTCATGGAGACTAGACCTTGGCCCATTTTGATGTAGGGGCCGCCGTTGGTGAGACAGGCTTCTAGGATTCTATTGGCTGCTCTTTGGTGGATGCGACTCATCATCACCTGGAAGTTGGGGGAGGATTCGGAGAGACCTATCATGGAGAAGTAGTAGTCGAAGGAGATGAGGAGTCCTACTTTTATGGAACTGGAAACATAAAAGTAGTTCTAAATTCGGTCACACCAGAGAATATCCAGACATGATGGATTGACATTTATGACACGAATTTTCAGCGACTGTAATCCCTATTCAGAGACTACATAGAGGCGAAATAACTTTAATAAAATAAAATAAAGATCTTACCGCAGAAATCGTGGTATGCCTCCCACGTATGACACATATTTTTCTTTATCTTCGGTGTCTTTGACTAGAGCTGTAGTTGCCAGGTATGCAAGAGTGCCACCTCCGATCCCCACGTTGCAAAAAATGAAGCCATTTTTTATATATGATTTTTTTCTATTCCTCGTTTGAGAGAAATTTCTGTGTAACAAGGGCCGTTTTAATGTGACTGTTAGGAGATACCGAGTTAACTTGTGCATTTCGTGAAATCTTCAACACCTTTAACAAATAATTATTTATTATTAAATAATACGTCGAGGTTATGTTTACAGTATTTATTAAACGTAATAATCTGCTAATTTGTGTTAACTGTTTGGTTAACAGATAGTGAAGTGTATTGGGTTACTTTAAGAACTTGACACATGCGCCTATGTAATTAACTGTTATTTATGTTAGTGTCAAATTAATCAATTAGGCAACTGCACCATATTATAAATTGATAGTCGATTAGCGTCACAGTGCTTGAACAACCTCCCTAATAAATATTCCCGTCAATTTGTGACAGATGATGCGATAATTTTTAAATGAAAAAGAAATTAACTTCTGGAACTCGAAATTTACAAAAAATCCTTTGCGTAATTTTCGAAGATGTTCAAGAAAAAGTCAAAAATTTGGTTTTCAATAATTGAGTTTTTGGAAAAGTTTTCTAACAATCCACACAAATTCTGGGAACTGATTAAAACAAATATCCTAGACCAAAATTTTTTAAATATTCGCTCTGAAACTCAAATTTTTTAAGAATCCTCAAAATTTCTATATTTCATACTGACACTTTTGGAAAAATTGTAGAGGTTTTAGAAGAAATGAAGAGAAATCAGTTTCTGGAATTCGAAATCTACGAAAATGTTTTTAGGTAATTTCGAAGACGGTCAAGAAAAGGTCAAAAATTTCATATTCATAAATTAAGCTTTTGGAAAAGTTGCCAATAATTCACGAAAATTGTGGGACCTATATCTCCACAAACTGATTCTAAAAAAATGTCCTGCGTATGATCCAGGACCAAAATTTTGAAAATGTTTGCTTTAAGAGTCAATTTCTTTTAAATCCTCAAAATGGCCATATTTCATTTTGGCAATTCTGGAAAAATGTTTGGAGTTTTCGAAGAAATGAACCCGAAATTAACTTCTGTAAGTCGAAATCTATAAAGAATCTTTTTTGGTAATTTCGAAAATGCTCAAAAAAGTAAAAAATTTTATATTCAAAAATTGAGCTTTTGTAAATTTGACTGATACTACACATTCTGCGATATAGATCTCGACAAACTGATTCTCAAAAACCGTCATATTTATGGTCCAGACTTCCAGAGGATCAAGATTTTGGAAATATTCGGTTCGGATTTTTTTTTATTATTCGAAATTGTAATATTCTGTTGGTGATTCTGGATAAGGGTTTCTGAAGAACAGAAGATGAAATTAACGACGAAAATTTGAAATTTTCAAAAAAAAATCTTTTTAGGTAACTTCTAAGGTGCTGAAAAAAGGTCAAAAATTCATTATTTAAAAATTGAGCTTTTGGAAAAGTTGCTATTATTAATCCATACAAATTCTGAGAAGTAAATCTCGACGAACTGATTCCAAAAAAATATCCTGTTTATAGTTCAGGGCCAAAATTTTGAAAATATTAGCTTTCAAAGTATGTATTTTTTTTAATCCTCAAAATTGGTGATTCTGGAAAAGTGCTAGAGGTTTTCGAAGAATTTAAAATGATATAAACAGTGGAAATTTGAAATTTTCAAAAAAATCTGTCTTGGTAATTTTCCAAGGTGCACAAAAAAAAGATAAAAAATTTCATATTAAAGAATCGAGCTTTTGGAAAAAACTTCAAAAAATCCACAAAAGTTGTAGGAAACAGGGTCAAAGAACTGATTAAAAAAACATCCTGCTTATAGTCCCACATCAAAATTTTGGAAATATTGGCTTCGAAGGTACTTTTTTTTTAAATTCCCAAAATTGTAATAGATAGTTCATATTTGCAATTCTGGAAAAATGGTAAGTTTTCGAAAAAATGAACCCGAAATTAGCTTCTGGAAGTCGAAATCTATAAAGCATCTTTTTCGGTAATTTCGAAAATGCTCAAAAAAATCAAAAATTTTATATTCAAAAATTGAGCTTTTGGAAAATTTGACTGATACTACACAAACATCCTGCGATATAGATCTCGACAAACTGATTCTCAAAAACCGTCATGTTTATGGTCCAGAGGATCAAGATTTTGGAAATGTTCGTTTCGGATTTTTTTTAATATTTAAATTTGTAATATTTCATTGGTGTTTCTGGATAAGGGTTTCCGAAGAACAGAAGATGAAATTAACGACGGAACTTTGAAATTTTCAAAAAAATCTTTTTGGTAACTTCTAAGGTGCTGAAAAAAATTCAAAAATTCATTATTTAAAAATTGGGCTTTTGGAAAAGTTGCTATTATTAATCCATACAAATTCTGAGATGTAAATCTCGACGAACTGATTCCAAAAAAATATCCTGTTTATAGTTCAGGGCCAAAATTTTGAAAATATTAGCTTTCAAAGTATGTATTTTTTTTTAAATCCTCAAAATTGGTGATTCTGGAAAAGTGCTAGAGGTTTTCCAAGAATTTAAGATGACAAACAGTGGAAATTTGAAATTTAAAAAAAAATCTGACTTGGTAATTTTCCAAGGTGCTCAAAAAAAGATCAAAAATATCATATTAAAGAATCGAGCTTTTGGAAAAAACTTCAAAAAATCCACAAAAGTTGTAGGAAACAGGGTCAAAGAACTGATTAAAAAAAAATCCTGCTTATAGTCCCACATCAAAATTTTGGAAATATTCGCTTCGAAGGTACTTTTTTCTTAATTCTCAAAATTGTAATAGATAGTTCATATTTGTAATTCTGAAAAAATGTTAAGTTTTCGAAAAAATGAATCCGAAAATAGCGTCTGGAAGTCGAAATCTACAAAGAATCTTTTTCGGTAATTTCGAAAATGCTAAAAAAAGTCAAAAATTTTATATTCAACAATTGAGCTTTTGGAAAATTTGACTGATACTACACAAACATTTTGCGATATAGATCTCGACAAACTGATTCTCAAAAACCGTCATGTTTATGGTCCAGAGGATCAATATTTTGGAAAAAAAGTCAAAAATTCATTATTCAAAAATTGAGCTTTTGGAAAAGTTGCTTAAACAAAAATTCTGAGATGTAATCTCGACGAACTGATTCGAAAAAAATATTCTATATATTTATGGTCCCGGACCAAAATTTTTAAAATATTCGCTTTGAAAGTACAATTTTTAAGAATCCTCAAAATTCCCATATTTCATATTGGCAATTCTGGAAAAATGTTAGGATTTTTACGGAAATTAAACCGAAATTAGCTTCTGGAAATCGACAGCTACAAAAAAGACTCTTTCGGTAATTTTCTAAGGTGCTCAAAAAAGTTAAAAAAATCATGTTTAATAAGTGAGCTTATGGAAAAGTTCCCTAAAAATCCGCACAAATTCGGAGATATAGATCTCCACGAACTGATTCCAAAAAAATATCATGTTTATGGTCCAGGGCCAAAATTTTAGAAATGTTCTCTTTGAACATTTTTTTTTAATCTTCAAAATTGTAATACATATATTTCATTGGTAATTCTGGAAAAGTAGTATGGGTTTCTGAAGAACTGAAGATGAAATTAACGACGAAAATTTGAAATTTTCAAAAAAATCGTTTTTTGTAAATTCTAAGGTCCTCAAAAAAAGTCAAAAATTCATTATTCAAAAATTGAGCTTTTGGAAAAGTTGCTTAAACAAAAATTCTGAGATGTAATCTCGACGAACTGATTCGAAAAAAATATTCTATATATTTATGGTCCCTGACCAAAATTTTTAAAATATTCGCTTTGAAAGTACAATTTTTTAAGAATCCTCAAAATTCTCATATTTCATATTGGCAATTCTGGAAAAATGTTAGGATTTTTACGGAAATTAAACCGAAATTAGCTTCTGGAAATCGACAGCTACAAAAAAAACTCTTTCGGTAATTTTTCAAGGTGCTCAAAAAAGTAAAAAATTTCATGTTTAATAAGTGAGCTTATGGAAAAGTTCCCTAAAAATCCGCACAAATTCGGAGATATAGATCTCCACGAACTGATTCCAAAAAAATATCATGTTTATGGTCCAGGACCAAAATTTTAGAAATGTTCTCTTTGAACATTTTTTTTTATCTTCAAAATTGTAATACATATATTTCATTGGTAATTCTGGAAAAGTAGTATGGGTTTCTGAAGAACTGAAGATGAAATTAACGACGAAAATTTGAAATTTTCAAAAAAATCGTTTTAGGTAAATTGTAAGGTCCTCAAAAAAAGTCAAAAATTCATTATTCAAAAATTGAGCTTTTGGAAAAGTTGCTTAAACAAAAATTCTGAGATGTAATCTCGACGAACTGATTCGAAAAAAATATTCTATATATTTATGGTCCCCGACCAAAATTTTTAAAATATTCGCTTTGAAAGTACAATTTTTTAAGAATCCTCAAAATTCTCATATTTCATATTGGCAATTCTGGAAAAATGTTAGGATTTTTACGGAAATTAAACCGAAATTAGCTTCTGGAAATCGACAGCTACAAAAAAAACTCTTTCGGTAATTTTCCAAGGTGCTCAAAAAAGTAAAAAATTTCATGTTTAATAAGTGAGCTTATGGAAAAGTTCCCTAAAAATCCGCACAAATTCGGAGATATAGATCTCCACGAACTGATTCCAAAAAAATATCATGTTTATGGTCCAGGACCAAAGTTTTAGAAATGTTCTCTCTGAAAATCCTTTTTTTTAATTTTCAAAATTGTAATATTTCATACTGGTGAATCTGGAAAGGTCCTAGAGGTTTTCGAAGAATTGAAGATGAAATAAGCGGCGAGAATTTGAATTTTTCAAAAATATCTGTTTCGGTAATTTTTCAAAGTGCTCAAAAAAAGATCAAAAATTTCATTTTAAAGAATTGAGCTTTTGGAAAAGTTCCCTAAAAATCCACAAAAATTCTGATTAAAACTGACTAAAAAAAATATCCTGTTTATGGTCCCACATCAAAATTTTGGAAATATTTGCTTTAAAAGTACATATTTTTTTTTTTAAACTGCAAAACTGAAATAGATTGTTCATATTGGCAATTCTGGAAAACTGGTAGGAGTTTTCGAAAACATTAACTCAGAATTAGTTTCTGGAAATCGAAATCTATAAAAAAACTTTTTCGGTAATTTTTAAGATGTTCAAAAAAACTCAAATTTTTTATTACAAAAATTGAGCTTTTGGAAAATTTGTCTAATAATCCACAAACATTCTGAGACATAGATCTCGACAAACTGATTCACAAAAAAATGTCATGTTTATAGTTCAGGACCAAGATTTTGAAAAAGTTCGCTATAAAAGTATTTTTTTTTAATCCTCAAAGTTGTAATATTTCCTATAGCTGATTTAGGAAAAGTGCTAGAGGTTTTAGAAAAACTGAAGATGAAATGAACGGCGGAAATTTGAAATTTTCAAAAAAATCTGTTTCGGTAATATTCAGGTGTTCAAAAAAAGTCAAAAATTCATTATTAAAAAATTGAGCTTTTGGAAAAGTTTCCTAAAAATCCACAAAAATTCTGGAAACAGATCTCAAAGACCTAAAAAAAAAAAATTTTGGAAATATTCACTATGAAAGTACATTTTTTTTAATCCTCAAAATTGTAATAGATTCTTCATATTGGCAATTCTGGAAAACTGGTAGGAGTTTTCGAAAAAATGAACTTAAAATTGGCTTCTGGAAATCGAAATCTACAAAAAAACTTTTTCGGTAATTTTGAAGATGCTCAAAAAAATTCAAATTTTTTATTAAAAAAATTGAGCTTTTGGAAAATTTGTCTAATAATCCACAAACATTCTGAGACAATGATCTCAACAAACTGATTCACAAAAAAATGTCATGTTTATGGTCCAGGAGCACGATTTTGGAAATGTTCGCTTTGAATTTTTTTTTAATCTTCAAAATTGTAATACATAGTTAATCATTGGTAATTCTGGAAAAGTAGAATGGGTTTCTGAAGAACTGAAGATGAAATTAACGACGGGAATTTGAAATTTTCAAAAAATCTCTTGGTAATTTCTAAGGTGCTCAAGAGAAGGTCAAAAATTGAGCTTTTTGGAAAGGTTGCTTAATAATCCACAAAAATTCTAGGGTAGATCTCGACAAACTGATTCCAAAAAAAATATCCTGTTTATACTTCAGGGTCAAGATTTTGGAAAAGTTCGCTTTGAAAGTATTTTTTTTTAATTCTCAATGTTGTAATATTTCTATGGTTGATTAAGCACAAATGCTAGAGGTTTTCGAAAAACTGAAGATGAAATGAACGGCGGAAATTTGAAATTTTCAAAAAAATCTGTTTCGGTAATGTTCAGGTACTCAAAAAAAGATCAAAAATTTCATAACTATTGAAAAATTGAGCTCTTGGAAAATTTTCCTAAAAATCCACAAAAATTCTGGGAAACAGATCTCAAAGAGCTGAAAAAAAATATATCCTTTTATGGTCCTACACCAAAATTTTGGAAATGTTCACTTTGAAAGTACATTTTTCTTCCTAAACTTCAAAATTGTAATAGATAGTTCATATTGGCAATTCTGGAAAAATGATAGAGGAGTTTTCGAAAAAATGAACCCGAAATTAGCTTCTGGAAGTCGAAATCTACAAAAAATATTTTTCGGTAATTCTGAAAATCCTCAAAAAATCCAAAAATTTTACATTAAAAAATTGAGCTTTTGGAAAATTTGCCTATTAATCCACAAACATTCTGAGACATAGATCTTAACAAACTGATTCCCAAAAAAACGTCAAGTTTATGGTCCAGAACCAAGATTTTGGAAATGTTCGCTTTGAAACAAATTTTTTTTAATCTTCAAAATTGTAATATTTCATTAGTGTTTCTGGAAAAGTGGTAGGGGTTTCCGAAGAACTGAAGATGAAATAAACGGCTGAAATTTGAAATTTTCAAAAGAATTTGTCTTGGTAAATTTCCAAGGTGCTCAAGAAAAGGTAAAAAAGTTCATATTCAAAATTGAATTTTTGAAAAAGTTGCCTAAAAATCCGTAAAAATAATGGTAATTAGATCTCGTCGAACTGTTTCCAAAAAAATATCTTGTTTATGGTTCTGGCGTACCAAAATTTTTAAAATCTTCGCTTTGAAAGTCAATTTTATTTAAGAACCATGAAAATTGCAATATTTTAGAAAAATGTTAGAAGTTTTCGAAGAAAAAAAGCCGAAATAACTTCCAAAAACTACAAAAAATCTTTTTCGGTAATTTTGAAAACGCTCAAAAAATGGTCAAAAATTTTATACTCAAAAATTGAGCTTGCCTCAAAATCCACAAAAATTCTGGGATATAGATCTCGACGAACTGATTCGTAAAATATCGTGTTTATGGCCCTGTACCAAAATTTTTAAAATATTTGCTTCGAAATTAAAAATTTTTTTTAATCCTCAAAATCGTAATAAATACTTCATTTTGGCGATTCCGGAAAAATGTTAAAAAAAAAAAAAGATTTTGGAAATGTCAGCTTTGAAACTCATTTTTTTTTAAATTCTCAAAATTGTAATATCTCATATTGGTGATTCTGGAAAATGGTAGGAGTTTTGGAAAAAATGAAGCCGAAATTAGCTTCTGGAAGTTAGAATCTACAAAAAATTTTTTTTGGTAATTTCGAAACTGCTCAAGAAAAGACCAAAAATTTCACATTCGACAATTCAACTTTGGTAAAATTGCCTAATAATCCAAAAAATTCGAGGATATACATTTCGACCAACTGAGTCCAAAAAATATCCTGTTTATGGTCCAGAACCAAGATTTTGGAAATGGTACCGGGGTTTTTGAAGAATTGAAGATAAAATTAATTAAAAAAGTGACACTTCATGATGATGATTGGGGACCTAAGCCGACTAGATTTGTAATGGTTGTCTAATAACACTATTGACAATTAAATATTCAATTTTGGAAAAAACAATATTTTTCAAGATCACCGGCGACATTAAATTTATTTTCGAAATTGTGGCATGATTTTAATAAACGAAAACATCCGCATTTATCATAATGAACACCCAAAAATACGAGTTTGCACACAGCAAAAACTAAACATAGCTAATGCGCTGTCTACACCCCACTATTATGCAAGCCCGTACGCCACTGTCCCGTGAGCGTGTTAGCGTGATCTACTCGTGCGTAAACCAACTTAAGATGTTAATCAAAATTCAAATAGAAAACAAATGATCATTAAAATAGAACGTCAAAACACGCCTACTATTTATAGTTAGAGTGATAATAAAAACTAAAAACTCATAAAATCCATTTACTTTAGCATTTTTACGACTACGTTTACAAACGCATGACTCACCGAGCACCGTCTTAAAAAAGTACATACACTTTACGCTTCCCGTGCTGTCATAAGTCATAAAAAGCAAACAAGCCATCAGCGCTGTCATTGGAGCCCGTCCTATTATTAAAATCCAGTAGCCGCCGCAGCCAAACACGTAATAACAAACGTCAAATTACCCAACGCACCTTCCATTCTAATTTTTCAATCAAGCCACCCATGATCCACACAAACAACCCTCGGCTTATTCGCGTCGTGCAGCCAAACGGCCCAAAATCACAAAAAGCCATCAAAACAAAGTAAAGAATTTAAAGAGTCGAAAATCTCGCTTTCAGTGCGCAGCATCTCGCCCGACAAGGACTCACAATCGCCCAGGTGCGCGTGCGACGGAGCGCGAGGTAGTGGTGCCTGCCCCCGCGCTGCCCGCCCCCTTCGAGCCATGCGTACCCCCGAATAATGCTGTATTCAGCGCCAGCACTGGGCTGAATGCTGCTGTGCTTGTTGAGACCAGTTAGACTTTGTGTTTTTCGACCCCGTCACCCGTTGTTTTCGACGTAACCATAACGCAAGGTAGGTCGTACTGTAAAGCGTCCATTAAAAAAAACAAAACAATAACGCTGTCATCGCGACAGCCGCCAATCAGCTGATCGCGTCCCAGCCGAACGATCTCGCTGAGCTCCACCCCCCCAACCGCTCGCACTTACCGTAGCGCACACGTCCGTAAGCACAAACGCAATTATCATTGTTGTTATCAAGCGGCGATTTTTCTTTGTTCTTTTGATGTGACGACGGGATTCAAAACGACCGCTTGGATCGATGATGCAACACTGCAGGTTAAAAAAGGACGGCTGTCGCGGCAGCACGGCGGCGCGAGAGAGACGGACGAGGGGGGCGCTTGCGCTGTGTTTGTGTTTTGTTACTGAGCGGCGGCGTTGCCGGGTTTACCGGGTTTCGGGAGAAACGACGAAACTTGATATCGCCTCCCTGGTAATCGGTTTGTTGTTGAATATTTATCGTTCGGGGAAAGTTGTGAGGAGTAAGTGTGACTTTTGCTTTATTGGTTGGAAAAAATTGCAAACTTGGGTTTTTTTCAACAACTAAAATACAATTTGGAAATGTTTACGTGTTAAAATTAGAAAAAGAAATTTAGGTATTTTAGTAGAAAAAATGTTGCATGACGTCGTGCGTTTCTACGGCAACGGGTATAAGCGGTGTCCTTAATGGAAAATGAAGGTTTTAATTGTTTTATAGAACTGTCATAATTTCAGCGCATAAAGATTTTATCATGTTTGGTGCGTATTTTATTACCATTCTGTATTTAATGCTGCAAATACCATAAACCAGAAGTTTTTCCACAGAAGTCAATATTTGATGTATGAAGTTTGGTTTGTAATTTAATCTACCTTTTAAGGGAATTTATTCGTAGTGTAAATATGACCAAGATCTGAAATAAATTGGTTTATTTTAATCACGATTTAGGGTTGCATAAAGAAAATACAAGGGATGTAAATAATATGCATTATTACTTCGTGAACGTAAGTTAAATGTTTTTTCCACGTTGACGAAAAAAGTGGGTCTATAGTTTGTACGAATTTTTATTCGATACATAATCTGCAAATTTACTAGACTATTTATGACTCTATTATACTTGTGGTTTATGAATGCACTCATAGTTTTTAGAATCACATATACAGGCTGACGCAAAAAAATTAGTGAATGACGCAGAACGACTCGTTTATTATTTTATTAGTATTGCAGTGCGTCTATCAAAATTAATATATATTTGTCCTTGCAAAAATGTTAATGACGTCATCACAAAATTCTCTAATGGAAAAACTCACTTGAAACAAACATTATTGATATTGACATTTACTTTAATTTAACATAAATCTTTATTTTTCAAAAAATTTTATTTATCGATCTTCTTTTAATAATAATTTTTCATTTTTTCATTTTACTTTATTTTTCAATGTAATTTTCCGGTTTTCCAACTTTAATTTTTTCAGTTTATCGTTTCTTCCATTTTTTAGATTTGCAATTTTTCGATATTACGATTTTTGAATTTTTCATTTTTCGTTTTTTCGTTTCCTTTATTTTTTCAATGTTTCTTTCGATTTTATAATTTTCTGTTTATTCAATTTTTCAAAATTTCGATCTTTGATTCAATTCCTCGATTTTGCAATTTTTGGATTTCCACCTGTATATATGTACATATTTAGTTTTTTCAATTTTGCACTTTTTCCATTTTTAAGTTTCAATCTTTCGATTTTCGAATTTTTCGTTGCTTCAATTTTTAAATTCTTGATTTACAATTTTTACATTTTTCAAAGTTTCCATTTTTCGTTTTTTCATTTTCGATTTTACAATATTGGAATTTTTACATCTTTGTGTTTCGAAAAGTTGGAAAATCGAAAAACTGCAAATCGAAGAACTAAAGAAAAGAAAAATTGAAATATTTTAATGAATTGAAAAGTGGAAAATCGAAATATTGGAAAACCCAAAAATTAAAAAGTCTGAAAGTTAAGAAATTCCAAAAAATTGAAAAATCGAAAAATTAAAAAAAAAGACAAATAAAATCAGGACATTGAAAAAATAAGGAAAATAAAAAACCAAAACGAAAAATTAAGCAACTGAAAAACTGAAACATCCAAAAGTATGAAAAGAGAAAAACCTAAAAATTTAAAAATGACATCGTAAAATTGAAGAAACAAAAAAATTGAAAAATTGCAAATCTAAAACTGAAGAAACGAAAAACTAAAAAAATTGGAGTTGAAAAAGCAAAAAATAATTATTAATTAGTGAAAAAGCGAAAAATTTGGAGAAAATAAAGAAAATCAAAAACCTAAACGAAAAATTGCAAATCGAAAATTTAGAGAAATTCGAAAGATTGAAAATTAAAAATGGAAAAAGTGCAAAATTGAAAAAAGTAAATAATGAATATGTATTGTAAAATAGAAATACTGAAAATTAAAGAAACAGCTGGAAGTTCAAAAATTGCAAAATCGAGGAATTGAAAAATCAAAGATTGAAATTTTGAAAAATTTAATAAAAGGAAAATTATAAAACCTGAAAGTTGAGAAATCCAAAAATTTAGAAATGCTACATCGAAAAAACGAAAAATACAATCAGGACATTGAAAAACCGAAAAATCGAAAAATATAAGGAAAACATAAAACCAAAATGAAAAATTAAAATATCCAAAAGTAGGAAAAGAGAAAAACTGAACAATTTTAAAATATATACACGATGAGTTGCATATAGTAAAATTCGAGAAGCAAAAAAATGAAAAAATTGGATTTGGAAACACAAAAAATTATTAATTATTGAAAAAGCGAAAAATTTGGAAAAATAAAGAAAATCAAAAACCTAAACGAAAATTTAGAGAAATGAAAAATTCGAAAATTGGATTGAAACTTGAAAATGGAAAAAGTGCAAAATCGAAAAAATTACATATGTATTGTAAAATCGAAACACTGAAAATTAAAGAAATATCTGGAAATCCAAAAATTACAAAATGGAGAATTGTGAAAAATTGAATAAACCGAAAGTTGAGAAATCCAAAAATTGCAAAATCCAAAAATTAAAAAATTTCAGATCGAAAAAAAAAGAAAAATAAAATCAGGACATTGAAAAACCGAAAAATTGGAGAAATATGGAGAATAAAAAATCAAAACGAAAAATTTCTAATCCAAAATTTGGAGAAATGGAAAATTCGAAAATCGAAAGATTGAAACGTAAAAATGGAAAAAGTGCAAAATCGAAAAAACTAAATATGTATGGTAAAATTGAAATATCGAAAATTAAAGAAATATGTAGTTGGAAATCCAAAATTGAATAAACGGAAGAGTATAAACTCTGAAAGTTGTGTAATGGTGAATCCGTTAATAAATCATTATTATTATTAAGTTGAGAAATCCAAAAATTTGGAAATCCAAAAATTTAAAAATTTCACATCGAAAAAAAGAAAAATAAAACCAGGACATTAAAAAACCGAAAAATTGAAACATCCAAAAGTAGGAAAAGAGAAAAACTGAAAATTTTTAAAATGAATACTCGAGGAGTTACACAGAAAAAACTGGAAAGAAGAAAAAACGAATCGAATCGAAAAATTGGAAAACCCAAAAATTGTAGAATCGTCAAACTTGTGAAGTCGAAAAACTAACATTCAAAGATTGAAAAATTAAAAATCGAAAAATTGAAAAATCGAGAAACTGGAAAAGTCCAAAATTGAAAAAACGAAAAATGAAAAAATCTGAAAGCTGAGAAATCGAAAAATTCAAAAATTCAAAAATTTTACATCGAAAAAAGAAAAATAACATCAGGACATTGAAAAACCGGAAAAATAAGGAAAATAAACCAAAACGAAAAATTAAGCAAATGAAAAATTGAAACTCCCAAACGTAGCAAAACTGAAAAACTGAAAAATTTTAAAATGAATACTCGAGGAGTTACACACCGTAAAATTAAAGAAATAAAAAAAAAATGAAAAATTGAAAGACTGAGGAAACGAAGAATGGAAAAAATTGGAATTGAAAAAACAAAAAAATATAAAATCGAGAGACTGAAAAAACGAAAAATTGTAAAGTAAAGAAAATCAAAAACCGAAACAAAAAATTGGAAATCGAAAATTTGGGGAAATGAAAAATTAAAGAATCGAAAAATTGGAAAATTAAAAATTGAAAACTGGAGAAATTTTAAAAGTTAACTAACCAATTTAAACTTGAAAACTCGTGAAATTGCAAATCGAAAAATTGAAGAAATAAAAAAAAAGGAAAAATTGAAAAACTCAAGTCAAAAATTAGGGCAATGTTATTTATGTCACTGGTTTCAACTTGATAGAGGTTAGCAGAAAACAAAAATCGCAGCGTTTTTTTATAATTTTTCAATGAAGCGATATTTGTTGGGCTGTACTTCAAGGGTTCTGTCAAAATAATCTTCGACTCATTTTTTTTAAATACGGTTTAGGGTTGCACAAAGAAAATAAAAGGGATGTAAATAATATACATCATTTTGAAAGGTCAAAAGCTGTATCTTATTATCGAGAAAAAATCCCCTGTAGACCACGAAATTTATTTTTAAAATAATAATAAGGTTGACATTACAACTCTTTTGAGCAAGGATCGCGTTGGTGTTGCCAACATGATTTTTTAAACATCAAATATCAATAGTTGCTAGACGACTTTTTCACGATTGTATGATATACTCTATTTAAAAAAATCTCTACATGCTGCTCCAGCTTTTATCCCAATACTTATCAAAAAGTGTGGTTATTTTCGTGTCGACTACGTTTTCATAAAGGTTACCTCACACTGGACTAAACTAGTTTATTTTAGTCATGATTTAGGGTTGCACAAAGATAATAAAGTGGATGTAAATATTATACATTATTTACAAACTTGAAAAATCGTTTACATTGTAAGTTAAAAAAAAATCCGATCAAGAAAGCCCCTGGAACACATTTTTAACACCCCTACAGCAACCGTAACTTGATACTTTTTTAAAAACTAATGACTTTTCCGTGGTTTATAGCACAATTTTGACTTAAATAAACCCCCTGTAAATTTGAATGT